CTTAAAAATTGTGAAAGATTTTTTTTTAAAAAATAAAAAAAAAAATAAATTTGGATTTTTAATTTTTAAATTAATTAAGAAATAATAAAAAATTATTCGATAATTATATTTTTATAAGTTCATCTTTAATTATTATATATACTTTTAATTTTAATATTTTATCAAAAAATATTTTTTAAAAGGAAAATTTCTTATAAGAGTTAACGACTTTCTTTTCTAATCTTGTCAACTAATTTAAAATCCAATAAAAGAAAAGTGTAAAAAAAAATATAAATTAAAAAAAAATTCAATCCAGTTAACATTAAATTTTTTTTTATTATTAAAAATCTACGTTCATTGCCTTTTATTTCACTTTTCAAAAGTGTCAAGTTTTAATAAAGAATATAGGAAATTTTTTTTTAAAAAAAAAGAAAATATAAAATATAATGAATAGGTTAAAAAATGGATTATTTTTAACTAAAACCTTTTAAATGTTTGCCTTCATACTACAAAATAAAAAACGATATAAATGTTTTTTTTAAAAAAAATTCTATTTGATTTTAAATATATCGTAAATTTGGGCTCTGAAGGTCAGAAAAGACTAAACTCTGACAACTATGCCATTTAGTACCTAAGCTGTGCTATCGATGCAGGCTTCGAACCTGAGGCGAATCGGCTGTTTATGATTTATATCTTTCTAAATCCCTTCTTATTAAATTTAAAAAATGTCCCGATTTTTTATTAACATTTTTAGAAGGGGTTGGGAGGGGGATTCGGGGAACTTTTTACACATTATATGTAAAAGGTACACTAAGGTATTTATTTTTTAAATTTATTTCTCTTCACATTTTTTTAATAAAATTAATTTATTACACAATAGTTTGCTCAACCTTGAAAGAGTTGAATCATTGTTTAGTTTTATTGATATTCATAAATTACCATTAAAAAAAAATACATGAAAGTGGGGAAAAATTTTTTGTAGTTTGTTATGTGGACAAGTTCGGTTCGAGGGATAAGTGTGTATATTTGTTAGGCCATTACATAATAGATTAATATTTCAACATATACAATAAATATAATTATAATAGAATATAAATATATATTTTTTTAAAAAATTAATTTATTCATTTTGAATTTATGAGAAGGATCGTAGCTAATCAATTTAACTTAAGCTCATTTTAATTTTATTTATAAAAAGAATTTTGTTTTTTAACAAATAATTTAGGAAATGTCTATTACGTTAGTACTTACAAATCATTCCTTTTTTTTTAGCAGATTACAACCGCGATTAAATCCTAAATTTAGATTAAAATTTTACCTCCTAACTATTGGTTGTTAAACGGTTCAATATGAGCCGACTTTTAAAAACGGCTTACTCAATATTTTATAGAAAAAAATATTACGCAAACCAGAAGATTTTGGTCATAGATGGCACAAAGATTTAGCGAAATCTCGAGGCTCAGTTTTTCGACTAAGATATTGAGTTAGCCGTTTTTAAAAATCGACTCAAATCGAGCCGTTTAACAACACTACACCTAACACATCGATTCCTAATAAACTATAAAGTATTTCATCTAAAATAAATAAAAGATTATTAATTATTTTTTTTTTAAAAAAACAATTCTTTGATTATTTTGCGGTTATTATGAACTTTAAATTTTTTTTTGTTGAACAAAAATAATAAAGTAATAACTTAATAAAAAAATTATTATAAAGTAAATATTGTCAAAAAAACTATAATGTTATGAATAAATAAACTGGTGAAAAGGTATAGTATATATTTTTAATAAATATATTAAATTAATACTAATATTTAAAAAAAAGAAATATATCATAAAATATATGAAAAGTTTTTTTTTCTTTTGCAAATGAATAAATAAATCTTTTTATCTTTTTTTGTAAAGTGTGAATTAATATTTTTTTTTTATTATTTCTTTAATAATTCCCATTTTCTTAAATGGCACATTTGGTAGAAGTTCTTGCATTAATGATACCACTGGTAAGTTTTTTATACAATTTTTTTTTTTTTAAATTTTGATTAATATTACAAGGTTTAGAATTTTTCTTCCTTTTTTAACTATTAATATTAATAAAACAAAAATAATGAGATGAAATCTTAGTAAAGAAGAATCTTAAGGGAGGCATTGGTTGGAATTTTTCAAAGGCTTTTAGGCCCCACACGGCTCGGAGTGAGCCGTTACGATTATATTTTTGAAATCCAGTCCAGGCCTCATATTTTTTTTACAAAACTCAGGCTAGATTGGGTAGGGTGGAATTTTTTAAAAATAATTTTTAAATTATCAATTAACTAGTTGGAAAATCATAAAATGGATTCCTTAACACTTCAATACTATAGTGAAAAAAAATGGCAAAAATGTTCTGAATCTAATAAACCTCAATTTAAAATGAATATATCTTCATTTATATTCTTTATTTGAATTTTATATTTTGATATAAGGTAGAAGTAACCTTAAACTATAAAAAATATTTAATTCATTTCAATTTATTAGGATTAGACAAAAAATGTTGAAGATAATTATAACTTATACCTAAATTTTCTAAAAAAAAACAAATATTGCGCATTCAAATCTTTCGGTTAACTATTTACAATTTAATTAATTGTAGGACAAAATACTTTGGAAATATAGAAATTAATCGGATCTTTGGGCGTTCATCTTTGCCTACTTGTTAGAATTTTTCTAGTTTTTAACATTTTGTTTTAAATCAAGCTGTTATCTGGCAGCTCCAGAAATATTTTTATTTAAATTTGTAGCCCTTTTTATGGCTTTATTTTGAATGGAGGCCAAGTTTATAAGGTACATAAGATTTAGCATCATTAATCATTTTCTAAGCTGATAAATCGGTTTCATGTCAATTCAGCGAAACTTTAATCACGAAACACTTTTCCGCGAATGAATTTTATAGCGAAACTTTTATCGCGGATAGATTTTATAGCGAAACTTTTATCGTTAACCCACATTAGCAAATGCTATTCCGCAAAGATAATACCGCGAAAAAAATATCGCAAATTTTTCATAGCGAGAGAAACCCTTACGAAACCTTTAAAGCGAATACATTATAACAAAACTTTTAACGCAAATTAATAATAGCCAAAATTTTATAGCGAAGTCATTGCAGCGAAACCATAATAGCGAAGACCGTATAGCGAAACTATTTCGCGAGACATATATCGCGAAAATATTATAGCTAATTTAATATCACGAGGATTGCGATAATTGCCAATAGTGACGACTATTTTATTTTGAAATATTAATTTTTATGATCATTTTTTAATTGAATAATATAACAGAGTTATAAGCTATTAGATTGTCTTTATCGAATTTTGAATGGCTATTCAAAAATAAATTATATTTAAGTATAAGGGATTCCAATTTAAATATTTTCAATCTAATGATTTTACGATCTTTGTAGATATTTTTTTTATCTCTTCTGTTTACATATATATTAAATATTAGTTCAAAAAAATTTGGGTAGGAATTTGAATCCATAAGATGTAGCCTTAAGCATGAAGTTTGTCAAACTTCGGCAAGCACTAATTCTGAAGCTTTAGCTAATATGTAATGCTTAATTACAATACATATGATTAGTACTACAGCATATATTATTTTTTTCCTTAATTACTCAGAATCAAAACTACTTAAATTAATTTTTACTAAATCCCTTAAAGATGATTTTGCTAACTAATTTCTTAGAAAATATAATATATCGCTCAGTTTTTACCATTTCTTTTTTAAGTGCATAAGTATGATTTTTTGAGTTTTAAAAATTACTCTATGTCTTAATAACTCGGAAAATTTACTAAATTTTTTTTTAAAATGTTAAAAAATTACTTAGCAAAATCTTAAATGATTTTCAAAAATAATTTGAGATTCGCAAAAATTCTTAGCTTTCAGTATTTTTTATCTTGATTGGAAAAATTTCTAAGCATTTTAGGATATTTGTTAAAATTTACTTTACTGGCATAAGGCACATTTTTAAAAGTAAGGGGATGAGGGGTAGGGGTGGGTAAAAACTTGAATCAAAATATCCCCTCTGTAATTACAACCATGATTGAGAGATTAGAAAGAAATTGGCTAATTTATTTTCTATCACATCAGATAAATTTTGGCCTACTTAATAGATAATAAGTAACAAAATATCCTTAAAACATTTTGCGTTTATGATCTTAGAAACCTTGGTAGGTAAATTGATATTGAATAGTTGTTTTCCTTTAAATAAATTATTTCAAAATATATTTACTGTTTCGTGGTAATGCGCTTGCGATAATATCTTCGCGCAAATACATTCGCGATAAAAAATTCGCTATAAAGGGTTCGCAATAAAAGTTTCGCTATAACGGGTTCGTTATAAAGTTTCGCTCGAAAGTCGCGGTTAAGGTTTGAGGAAATAAATTTGCGATAATGGGTTAGCGATATTGTCTTCGCTATAAATGTTTCGCCGAAGAAAACTCATAATTGGTTTCGCAATATTATCTTTGCTATAGAATTTGTTCGCGATAAACGACATTCGCGATAAAATGAGCAAAAATGTGTTTCGCGATAAAAGTTTAGCTGAAAAGATATAAAAAGAGCCGCCCCAATATTTTAAAAAATAGCCAAATAAGATATAACGTTTTAAATTTGTACTGATTCTCAATCAACGATTTATCTACCGATAAGGGCTAGTTTTTGCCTTATAGAGATTGGGAGTAGCTGCTGCGTATACTATATACATACAAACTAAATGGTTTGCCCCCTATCTTCCATTTTTAATATTAAATTCCTAATTTTACTTAGGACAACATTGCATTAATTAAAATCACTATGTTTTATTTCGTATTGCTTCAAATTTTAATAATTGCATTGACGAGATATTTCTAAAGTATAGACATGACAATTTTTTAGATATATTCTTCGTAAAATCCTATCCTCTTTTGAATTAAGGACATCCTTATTTTGAATTGGCTCCTTTTATTTTATTTTATTTTTTTTATTTCTTTCGCATTTATCAATGATCAACTTATGGTTACTTTATTTGCTATAATTCTGCCAGAATTGTTAATAAAAACTCACGAATATTTTTCGTCTTATTACCTCTACTCATTTGAAGAAAATATACCTTATAATGGTTATATGGTAAAATTATAATATGTAAAAAAAAAAGTGAACGATTGCTAATTTTTAAATAGGATAGATAAATTAACGTGGGTGAACATGGTGAACATTTTTCCTTAAAATTGATCTAAAATCAATCTTTGATAATTCTTTACTTCAAATATCATAATATATTTAATATTAAATATTTTAATAAGAAATTATTAATTATTAATTATGAATTTGAAAATTCATGTAAGTACAAATAATTAATAGCAAAGCATAACAATTCGTATATTCATTTAAAAAAATATAATTATTATTACACAATACATATTTTGATCAATAGGAAAAAACAAAATTATATACATTTCCGGAAAAATCAATTTTTTTTTTAAATTTAAAAAATGCGCTTATAATTTAAAGTTGAAAAAATAACACATATGGAAAATCACATTGAAACTAACATATTTATATAAAGGGGGCCTTAATCATTTATGAACTATATTCCTATTGCTAAATAAAGTTTATATAAATTTCTGATTAATATATTTTCTATTTTTAAAATATTTCTATAAAATATTTTTTTCTTCAATATCATCAATGCATAGCTAAAAAATTTTTTTAATATTTCGTACTTGCATCGAGAAGCACCAATTAAATATGATAAAGATTATATAATCATTTTAAAAAAAAATAGTTTATCATAGGAGATGGTATAATTATTTCTGATCTAAGACTCTTCGCCAAATATAAAAGTTACTTATATAACGATCCCATTGATAAATACAATCAAGCAGGCATAGGGAATAATGATAAAATATCCCAATTTTTAAACCATACTTCAATACCCAAAGTCAAATTATTTACTACAGACAAAATACCAGATAATAAGCAAATTTTCCATGATATAGATAAACCTAGCGAATTTTCCGATAATAATAATCCATCGCAAAAACTAAGTTCTCGTCCATTTTTTACTTTTTTCATAGAAAATCATGCAGAAAAAGAAATTATGCCAAAGGCAAATAAAGCAGCTAGTGTCTCTATAGCGTTACAAGGCTATAACAACGATCCCACTATAACAGAAAAAGGTAGAATCCCGACATACAATTTCAGCCAAATATTGTTGACCTCAACCAATGATTACGATTCAACTTTCCCCTCATCCTATCAAATCAGGTGGACACCTTTGAGAGATATGTCGAGCAACGAATACTTCAACGATTTACGTGTGAGCAAAAAAAGAAAAAGAATCAAACATAAAGAGATCCCCTATCCAGAGCAAACTATGCATAAACATTTGCCCGTGAGAGATAGAAAACAAAATTTTGGATTTCAGGATAAACTCTTATATAATAATTTAAACGATAAGGAAAACGGTATCCGATCTGAGATAGCTAGGGCCTTTAGCCACATGAAATACCAAAGCTTGGATCCCGAGTTGATTCCTTCGAAAATCAAAATGAAAGTTATGAAGAGTACTTTTAAATTTTACGAAAATCTATCAAATTTTGACGGATCTTCAATAAATGACAATTTTAAAAAAGGCATGGGTTTAGCTAACATTGAAAGATATCATTGGTTTCAACTGGGCAAACCAGATAAAAATAACAGAATATCGGAGGCATCCATAATTATAGGAGACGACAAAGAGAGTGTGAATAATCCAATTTATTTTAGCACCCCTCGTACGACAAAAATGAACCACGAGCGACAAAATCACCATTATATTGATTATCGAAACCGACCAAATGATATTAAATCAAGTACTAAACATGGTAAGCCGTTTCAGTTTTACTTTCTACCAAATATTCCCAAAGAAGTTAACAAGAATGGTGAAAAATCTTTTATGATTAAATTGAGCGCTGAAACTCAAGTAGGCAAGTCTCAGGAAAAGGCGAACGCGTTAAAATTGATTCCACTTAGGGGGAGAAACTTTTTGCGTGACAGAAGGTTTGATTTCGTTAAAGGAAAATCTGGGAAAATTAAATTTCCCATTGATGAGGTTAGTTCCTATTTAAGTTTAACCACTCCAGACAACAATTTATTGCGCGATCATAGATATAAACTAAATCATCCCACTCCATCAAATCCCAAGCATAGTGGAACATATTTATTTAGTGTTGTCAAACCTGACCGTGGTATCTCTAATAGAGGAAAATCCCACGCAATTAACCGAATCAAACACGATAAAATATCTAAAAAAGAAATTGGAGGTAATGAGGTAAATATAGTACAAGGCTCAAAAGATATGGATGAAATAAACTCGGACGCTTTGGCATTGATGGTTAATTACACTGATCAATTTTACGATTTTCAAAACGTGATGGAAACGCACAACAAAAGCTCTAAAGACCGAATGTCAAATTCGATTAATTTTGATATCGATCCCATTGTAAAATATAATGCCCTGCCAAGGCTTAGACCTGCTGATATTCTTAGCAAACCGGAGCGTAGAATATTCCCATTTTACAAGGGCTCTTTTCAAATGGATGCCTTATCGGATGGAAGTTCTGACGAACCTCAGGTGATATATTTATGTATTATATATAGATTATAGACATAGTTATAGATATGCCCTAACTTGATTATTTTCTATAAGCCCTGTCTGAATAGGAAACCTAATGCAATCACCCAGTGTACCTAATCACATTAAATTATTAAATATTCAAGTCCTTCAGGTCCTGTTTTAAAAAGAATGACACTCTTCCGACAATATTTATAAAATACCATAATATGACAATGCTTAAAACATCTTAATTCATAACATCAGCTGGCTCTTCCTGATTTAACAACCTATTTTACAAATATTGGCTAGCCCCCACCGCTTGGATTTTATAAAATATGCGTTACAACTTACAAGGCCATTTGGGCGAATCTAACATAAATAAAATAAAAATATTAAAAATATGCGTTTAATAAGTTATAAGTAAACTTTAAATTTAAAAGGCAATCTGGCAATAACTGATGCAATGTCCTTTTAGAGTAAAATTTATCGTTAGTAAAATTTTATATACCTTTTTACCAGAACTTAAAAATATTTCATAAATGAATTTTTACACCCATTTCTTTTATAAATTAAATTATTTTATTGTGGAAAAAAATAATTAATCTAGATATCCAGAAATTTGTTACATCAAGGTATAAAAAGATCTCACAAAGGAAAGCATTTAGATGAGCCATACTATTCAAGAAATAAAAATAACGATTACAGGGTTAAAAAGATCCCGAAATCCAATAAAAATAATAAATGGGATAAAATGTGGTAGATATTATCAAACATTTACGTTGTAATTTATTTATTTTATTAACTTTTTGCACCGTACATTGATTGTAAAAGCGATTTTTCATCTAATATAATTAAACTATCATAAATGGATTTAATCATATGTTGGTGTAACACCTCCATAAAAACGAAATCATATAAGATATTTGTTATTTTAACGAATGATTTGACATTCCTATTAGGTATCCAACAAATAATTTGGGTTATTCGTAAAAATAAATTAAATTATATTAGTTTATATATAAAATAATTGCAGTAAGAATTTTAAAATTTAAATCAAAAATTTATTTGCGTGAGGATCATATTTATCTCATTTAATAAAGAAAAATAAATGTTCGACAAATTTAATTATTTTTATTGAAATTCAAAAAATATTATATAATTTATAATGCAATCTACATTAAATTATTAATAATAAAAATAATTTTAAAATGTTTTTGTCTTTTGACATAACTGCGCCTTTATATTACACCATACATCTACTTCCATAACCCAAGTTTGTCAAATAAAAATTAATATTTGTGTTAGGTTTTTGCAATAAAAGATGGGGGAAGGGGGGGGGGGTGTTCACCCACTAGCCCTCTTTTTTCTCTGCCTTTGACGGGATTTAAAAGAAAACTAATACCTAGTCAAAAAAAACTAACTGAAATCTCATTTTTGGGCATAATACAATGATATTTTTATTGTAAAAATTTTCAAATTTAAGAATTTCAGCATGAAAAATATTATAGGAGTTTTTGTGGTATATTTCGAAAATTTCAAAATGTGAATTGTGGTAAGTTGAGTTGAGGTATCGACTTTTTAAAAAAATGTGGTAGTCTACCGCGATAGACCCTATCCATACACAATAGGGTATTCATTTAATGTAAGAGAAGAAGTATGAATTGTTATACATATCGAATAAATGAGATTTGAAGATTGTGTTTTCATCAAATATTATCTCGCTTGATATCATGACTTGTGTAACTAATATTACATAAAATTTTAAAAAAATACTTTTTTGTAAATATTCTGTCTAAGGTAGTTATATCAACTATACCGAGTTTAACGGTTTCATTGACAGCTGAACCTATTTTTTGGATCCCTTTTCCCCAATTTAAGCTAGGAATTTTCATCCTAGGAGGTTAGTATATATTAGATATGGGCCAGGGCTAAGATGGCGCCCTAAAAAAGATTTTATTATGGTTAAGCACAAGTGAATTTATCATCACTCCACAAATATAGGAAATTGATTTTATAAAAAAAATTGGAAAATTTACTGCTAATACAAAGAATAAATAAAAATATTCTAAATTAATACAATATCTATTTAATATTTATTGTTATTTCAATAAATTAGTTACAGTAAGCAGCCCGATTAAGATTTTAGTTAAAATAATATTATGTCATCGATATTTAGCAAATAGATTTTCAAGTATTTCTGCTAGCTATGAGCAAAATCTTTAGGCTTGCATATATTTTAGTTATAATCTTAATCGAGCCGTCTTTTAAAATCCCCGTGTCGGGCTTTTTAACAACACTAAGTTACAGTCCTTAAAAGTTACAATTTTTTAAAGGCATTCTTGAAAAGTAACTCATTAAATTTAGTAACTAGTTATACTTATATGTTTAAAAAAATTAGTTACATTACGAAGTACTTTCTAAACCATTTATATCTCATCAGTTATAATATTATTTTTATACAAAATAAATTTTAGATTTACAAATTATAATAATTAAAAAAAAAGATTACTAAAGAAAATGAAAATAAATATCAAAATGGCACCCAAAATATTATAATTTCATAAAATTTTCTCTTAAATAAATTTATATTTGACTGTAACAATAAATTATTTTCAAAATTTATGTCTAAAAGAAATATCCCAAGAAAGCTTGGTCATGTAAAGCATGGTACTAAAATTTTGAATTTAGGAAATCATCAAATAAGGATAACGAATGAGAGATATTTAACATAATTTTTAAAGTAAATTGTAAAGTAGGTACAAAAATCAAAATAGAATAATAATTCAAAATGAACCCCTAATCAATTTCATATTTCATAACGCCTTTATATATAATAATATAATAAACCAGCATTCTATTTATAATCCATATCAATATATATTTATATTTATCATAATTCTATTTATAATTTCACTATTACAAACATTATACAATATTTTCAAATTAAATTTAATCAAGCTTACAGCATATATCTTCATGAATATAGATTCCATAAATGAAATCTGCTTGTTTTATTACAGGGAAGGGTACCTATAAGAAGTCTTTTAGTAAAGGTAGATGGAAGAAGTAGATATAGTGATAAAATTGGTTCCGTATTCGACAGGATACTAAGAAGGTGGATTTATATTGTTAGTAATACAATATACCTATTATAGTATTCTATTATTGATTTATTCTTAGTTACTGGGTTTAGGGTATTATTTAAAAATTTTTGGAGCTCTTGAAGTCCACAATATTTTTAAATAATAATCTAGGAGTTTCATGTGTTTTTTTAAAAAAATTATTAAAAAATAAACCTTTACTTATATTTTTTTCAAATGATTGTTTATAGTTATATAATATATAAATTTTTTGGGGAAAAAGGTTGGAGGGGGGGGGATTTTTATCAGCTTAAAATGATATTTAAGAGAACAGGCAAATTTCTGATGAAGAATTCCCCTTTTCCCCTCCGACTCTGGCGACGCTTATGTGTAATATCATGGATATTTTTGTCCTGCTTAAATGCATAAAAAATTTGAGGTAAATAACTGAATAGGAGGATATTTCGATCTACATAATTTTTAAAATAAAATATTGTTTTATACATTTTTATCTATTTTAAAACCATAATAAGGATTATACATAGGTGTAGCCAGGATTTTCCTAAGGGGGGGGGGAGGGTTCCCAGCCTTCGGATGGATTAACTTAGTTTATATATAGCCATAAAATATTTTTACAAGATAGGAGGTTAATTTTAATAAAAAAAATAAACCTGGAACTAATATGAAATATATTTTTATTAGTTTATATAATATATAATAAATTACTTATATATATAAAAGCATGGTAATAATTTATTAAAAGAAATTTATTTATAAAAAGTAAGTAGACATATAGTTGATATTCCTCTATTATATAGAATTAGTTACAAAATACTATGTAAAATTGAACTTATACAGACATATTTGACAGTTAGAGAATATATTAGTTAATATTTTAACAAAATTTACTAATCAATATCTTGATAATAAATATTACAACAATTTGGATTCAAAATTGATATTAAAAATTAATCTTCATATTAATTATCCCACAATGTCTTTAAAAGATATTTTCTGATGTCCTTTTCGATATTTTATAGTTTTCTTAAAATATATAATTCGCTATTATTATAAACGGTGACAAAGAGAGGTTATTATAATATTATATATTTTGTACATTCCGAATCCTCCGAATAATAGTTTATTGACATATTCTTGACATTACATCAAAATTTATAACAAAATAAAACTTTAATTACAATATCTTCCCCCTTTAATCAAGCCTACAAGCTCAATTGTTTGTGTCATTTTGTACATATCTTATAAATCATCGTCCACTCTTATTATCTTCATCATTCTACCCATTCATCATTTCACCCAATTGCTTGTGTCATTTCATTTTTATATTCCTTATAAATCATCGTCCCATCTTGTTGTTATCTTGTAATCTTCACCAGTGGCGTCGCTAGGGGGGGGGGGGGTGCAGGGGCTCAAGCCCCTGAAAATTTGAATAGCACCGTGAAGCAAATAAAAATTTTTTAATCGTTCCTTAATATCCACTGAACTAAAAATAAATTTTTTTGATTGCCACCTGAATGATTTCTTTTATAATTCTATTAACTAATATATAGATTTAATTTTATTATTTAAAAATTAATAAGACCGTCTAAATATTTATTAAATGAATACTATTTTACATATTAGATTAGATGAATACATATAAATTATATTTTCACTATGTCAGCTTGCAATCAAATTTTGTGTTAAAAATAGAATATTAATATCACTCATTAAATATTAGTTTAGCATTAACAGTTCAAGCTTTATTGACTTTTATTATATAAATTATTATATAACTCTAATTAAATATATATTAATTGAAAATTAAATATTCAATATTTTAATTAGCCGAGTTCAAAATCATTAATCAACTATATTATTGATATTTAAATTTAATTACCATGCCTCTTCTTAAAATTATTTTTAAGGTCCGAATCCAAATAAGTATAAGAGATTTATAAGTAATCATATAGTTTCTAATCCTTTATTAGATATAATTGTTTATAAAGTATTAGGTCAAATACCAATACAGACGTATTTACAGTTATATAAAATATTACAGTTAATATTTTAATAAATTTTACTAATAAATGCTTTTGATAATTAAATTGCTTTAAAATATTTAACGCTATCTATTTATTTAGATCATTTTTAAAAATTTAACATCTTATTTTTTATCCAAGAATGGATGTAATAAATTAGATAACTTTTCTTCTCTTATTTACGTGCTTTTAGGAAAGCTATTTTTTTCTTATTTGAAAAACAGTTTTGAGTTAAATTATTAATGCTAGTATATTTTTGATATTATTACAAACTACTACTATTTTAAGATATAATATACCAACTACTAGAGGTGGTGCTACAATAATGTGTAAAATCTTAATTAATTTCTTTTATCATATCATATCACTCTGGTTCTTATTTTATAGTTACAAAAGGTTTCATTTCTAATATGGCATCCCTGCCTTGTAAATAACTTAAGGCTTCAATACATTTGCATAATTTCTTCTAAAGAATTTTAGTGCTTTTGTTTTATCAATTTATCTAGCATAATAAATTCTGATATAAGTTAATATAGTGAGTGTCATGGGTATGACTGCAAATTAACCAGCATCTATTATTTGTGTGGCTATGTAATTTAAGATTATTATTATACTGCCGAGAGCATATGATTGCATATTTTATAAGCAATAATTAATCTTTTAGAAATTTAATATCTCACAATTTTTTTTCAATTACTTATCTAGCTTCCATCATGTCATTTTAGAGGAAGCTCTAACCACCATATAGTTTTATCATTTGGTTGGTCGTTTATATTCTCTTCTCCAAGAATTGTTGATTTGGTTAGGCCTATAAATTTTTCTTTATTAGTCCATTCTATAAAACTTTGTCTAAAAAGGGTAACAGAGTCTATTAGTTTCTTGACCGTTTGTCAATGTAAGTTGCCAATTTTATAATATGTAGTTTTTAAAAACCATTATCAATTGAGGCATATGTATGAATTAATTAACCTTTTTTATCACTTGTATTTCTTTAGACGTAAAATTTATATCAGCAATCGAAAATATTTTATACTGTAATAAATAGATTTTGCATCAAAAAATAATATTTTTAGAAATGTCTTATATTGTTTAATTATTTATATGCTAGTTTATTTTGTTAACATAATATAATAAATGACAAAATATGAAATGAATATTTATTCAGTTAGCTAATTTTTAAAAAGTAGAATATATTAATATAAAATCCGGCCGAAGGCCGGGCAATAACGGGCCTAAGGCCCGCAAATGGGGAGTATAGGGGGGTTTGCCCCCCTACAAATTTTTTTTTAGTTGAGCCCCTGAGATTGTAAAGGATAGCGACGCCCCTGATCTTCACCATTCAACCCATTCATCATATCACCCAATTGCTTGTGTCATATTTGTCACATAATTTACCTGTACACCCCAATTGTCATCCTCACTTTTTGTAGCTTTGTCTCCTCTTCCTGTTCTTTTCACCTACTTTTTTTTATTCATCATCTTTTTTTTTTAATCCTTTCACTTCATCTTTTTTTAATAAATTCTATTCCCTTTTTCCATTTTTTTTAAAATTCATTTTTTTTATTCTTTTAAATTATTATAAACGGTGACAAAGAGAGGCTATTATAATATTATATATTTTGTATATTCCGAATCCTCCGAATAATAATTTATTGACATATTCTTCACATTACATCGAAATTTATAACAAAATTAAACTTTAATTACAACAGCTATATTGGTAAAAATGATTTGATTGCCATATGATAATTGATAAAATTAGATATACTGTAAATCTACGACATATAATATTCCACTGTTTGTATTGTGCTTTAATTTTTTTTATTTAATTTATGATTTAATTTTTATTAAGATAAATAAAAAAATTACTCACTTTATAAAAAATTATATTTGATATATTATATTATTTAGTAATTTTTTTGATCTATTATTAGTAATTATAATTCATTTTACTTTTGTCTTAAGACTTTGGCTTATATTCCATTTTTTAAAAAACATTTATGGTTCACTTTATATATATATGCTATTTTCCAAAAATGTATAAATTATGATGAATATTATAAAAAAATATCAACTTTTACATTCTTTCTTTCAAATTATTGTTTAAGATATATGCATACATTTTTGGGGGTCAGGGAGTGGGGAGAGGACTAACGGGGATATTTTTTATTAGCTTAAAATGATATTCACAAAAAGTGATAAATTTCTGGTGGGGGAAGGGGGGGAGGAATTTCCCCTTGCCCCCCCCCCCCTATTGCTATGCCTATGGGATTATACCTTTGTGATATTAATTATGATATGTGAGTAATTTTCATCTTCTAATATAATATTGTTTCATATACATTTTTTATTTTAATAAAGATTCTAATTTTACCTGGATGTTAACAAGATAATATGTTTTTTTACATTGATTATATTAACTTATTAAAGATCCAATTTTAATGTAATTATAAAACTTCTCTCATTATGAATATTATACAACACAATCTTTAAGATCTGTTTAAGTTTTTACATACCTTTTCTAAATGATTTTAATATTTTTGAGAAATATTTATTTAGATTTCTTTTCTCTATAGTAAGTTAGAGTGAAACTGGTAAATTTGATAATATTAAATTAAATGATATAATATTTATTTACCAAAATTCTCAATTGGAATTGGAAATAAAATTATTATAGTATTAGATATTTGATTTCCCTCAGTTGCAAATTATACCTTTGTATATTTATTAACTATATAAATAGCTATGAAAATCTTTTTAAAAATTATTATAATTCAATTTATCTAACTTGATAATACATAAAAATATATATAGTATAAAAAATAAATTAAACAAAGTAACATTCCTATTGTTCACCATTTGGCAGGCGCGTATGCAGGAATTTGGTCTGGGGGGGGATAATAAAATTTTTTAAGAAATATTATTGTTTTTTAAAAATATCAAGCATAAATTTATTATGACTAATAACTATTCCTAATACACAATTTTAAATTATTGTAAATTATAAAAAAATTATATGTAAAGAATCACTTAAATGACCCAAAATAGAAATTTGAATATTTTGAGCCTTTACACAAAAAGTTTCTTAGGAATAATTGTATTTTGTATGTTATATATTTAGAATGTAAATCCAATCTTCGTTAGGAGTGAGCTAATTTTTCAATTACTCATCCTTGATTGGCGTCAAATGCTTATAAATATTTAAAAGATCCAAACCATTCAATCCACTTTCAGAAGTTGTACTTCTTGGGTATGTTTCCAGAGAACTGCAGGTCCGGTTCCCGTGTCGGATCGTATTTTAATTGTTTAAATACACCCGGACAGGGCCCAAATTTTTTTAAAAAAACAGCCGGGGCGGGCCTGATTTTTTTTCAAAAAAATTATCCGGGCTCGGCTATATATTTTAAAACCAAATATTTAAATTAGATATAAAAATCAAAAATAAATATAATTTCTTTAAAAAAAACCCGGGCCGGGCTGAAAAAAAATTTTGAAAAAAAATCCAGGCCGTGCCCTGCAAATTGTATCTCTGCAGGGCTCTGTTATTCTTCTTAAAAATGAAAATGTTCTCTCATTAGTTTACTAATGGGAAGAGTTGCTAATATATATAATCATTTTAATACATTGGGAATAAAATCTAAAATGTGTTTGAAATTATACAAAGCATCCATAGCATTTTTTGGGACTATATCTTAGTTAATCTTTTAAACATAGTTATTCAGCTATTAAAGCATCAAACAAATATTATTTTTTTCCTATCACCATCTGAAAAATTTGGGAAGGCTTTTGTGGAAGTAATATCTGCAGATTGGTAAGTGCTGCATGATGAATTAAAAACCATTCATTTATTTGGATTATAATTTTATAATACTTTTCTACTGATCTTATACTAATGTTTTGACGATGAGCTTGCCGTGCTGCAAATCGTGTGAGACAAATATTAAACACGTATAGCTCTCCTTTTGACTCAACGATAACATATAAAATTGAAATTCTTCATCAATAGCCCTAATTTCCTTGAGTTCTAATAAAATGCTCTCCGCTATTCTCATTTTTTAAATTAAGTCAATGTCATGTTTTTGAAAAGTATTACATAAAATAGTTGTATAATTAAATAATACATTCTAAGAAAAAAAAAATTGAAATAAGTATTAAATCCAATAATTTTCTTGCTTCTGAGGAAATATTTCTTTCAGGCCATTGTGATATTTCAGTAATAGCATTAATAATCGGTTCTAACTCCATAAAAGCTGTTACTGCTTGATGGCGGAGACTCCATCTCGTTGGACAAGCTTGCACTTTCTTTCTCCATGTTGGACAAGGAGTATTAGAAAAATTATTATTTGACTAGAAATATGAAAATGGTAGATAAATATTACGCCAATGAAAACTTGAAATCGAAATTAATTGATAAATAACTTAATAGATGAATGTGATAAATAAATGTAATTAAATATTTATTTAATATGAGATAGGAATAAATATTAAAAAATATAAATTAATATAAACATTAATATTTTTGAAAATCCGGCATCTGCATTTTTTGGCTTTGGGAAGGGGGTGCCCCCTGCCCCCCCACCGCTGCGTACGCCAATGCCATTTGGAATTAATTATTTTATCAATGACATCTTCTGGATGGGTCTGTACATTTTAGAAGTCTGTAATGGCTGTTTTTTTATCCTGAAACATTGTTGGTCAATATTATAAAAATTTAAATCGTCACCTATTTATTTTTTCAAATATTTATCCGCCTTCTGATATTTTTCTAACAATTTTGTTTAATCGCGCCCCCTCAATGTTTATTATTATATTAATTGGTTTGTCTTCTTATTTGTTTTAATATATTTTTACTTATAAATATAAAATATGTTTTAGTATGAAAATCCTTTCTCTTATTTTGCTCGAAAAATACTACATGAACTGCCTGCCCACATATTTTTTTAAACCCATTTCAGTCCGTTGAAGTTTTCAATGTTAATTTTTTTTAAAACTCTCTGGACACATGTCAACACATATTATATGCCGACGGGCTAAAAATATGGCTATTGCGGAACTCTGCCTCTAGTTATTGTATTCAAATGTATTAATACCGTTTATAATAATTATAGATCTCTAATATTAATGATTTCGGAAGGAAAAAATAAATAATAAAAGGATTTAATGTCATAGGAACGCATTTGTTTAAATAAGCGCTAAAATTTCGCATGAGAGCTATTTAAATAAAATAATAATATATTTGTTTAAATTAGTGATAATTATATTAATATTTGGGGCTAATATTGGCCATCTCACCTAAAGAACCTGTAAAGGGGGAATTATTGATAAAAACTAGTAACTGAAATGAAATTATTCTTTTATAATGAAAAAAATATATTTTCATAGCTTTTATCCGTTTATATGTTCCTACACAATGACATAGTATATGCAATGACGAATATTTATATATGTTATTTGTTCAATATTGGAGAATAATAAAATGTAAAACAATTCAAATATTTATACTTATAAGTTTGTTTTCTTTAAAATAAAACTTTAATCTTTTCAAGGTATTTTTATTCTATTTGTCACACGTTATTATAAATAGTAACTTAACAACACTAATAAAACCTATAAATTATCTGTTTTGTAGTTTCCATCTGTCAAATGATGGTGTCATAGAAGCGCGCACGTCATCCAATTTTATGAGAAAGAATATAATATTTAAATAACAAACGTGTGGCTTGAATGAATCGTATAAGTCAATTTTATATATTAATTTGCAGCGTTGGTTGCTGTCTTGCTTTAAAATGTGCCAAAAAAGGAGATATGTTACATGTTAATTATAAAGTAAAGTTATTTTGAAAATTTCATATATAAAAAATTTAAACAATAGGGTACTCTGGATGATGGTTCTGTGTTTGATTCTAGTGAAACCAGAGGGACTCCTTTCAAATTTCCATTAGGTGCTGGCCGGGCTATTAAAGGATGGGATATTGAACTTGAGGGGTTAGTTAATTTATATTGCCTATATTTTAGATAACATTTTATTTTTACAATATCATCATTCATTAGGCGTTTACTCATTTTATCTTTATAATTATGATGTGTAGCAAAATTATCAACCTTTTACAAATTGCTTGCTTAATTATATGTTCAGTTATATTAACATTTGCTCAAATTCTTTTTCAAATAATTTTATATAATTGAGTGTTGTGTCATTATGCAAAACATAAGTGATACATTTCATATGGTATCTAGCAAAGTGATTATGAATATTTATAAAAACACATACATGTTTCTGTTATCTAAAAATGCTTAATTGTTTGCACTATATCACCATATTTTATAAAAATAAATAGAGCTTTGTTGATATTAAGACCTGGTATTAAATGTCTATATCAGAATTGTCAGTTATGTTTTATTATTGAACATCTTGAAATATTGATACATTAAAATTTTTTTTAAAATGAAATTATTAATAAAAAAAATGTTAGAATCTGCTGATCAAAAATTGATTTTAAGGAAGTGTTAGAATTGATTTATCATTAATTTGTTCAGGGTTGAATTGGCAAAATTTATTAAAAAGTAATCCAAAAACATAGTCTGACTTCATGTCAATACTGACTCCTTGAAATATTTTTTATGATATTATTTTTAGTTGTATTAACATTCTAAACAGTAACATAGTCAGGAGGAAGGAGGGGCACATCTTTAATCCCTTGGAAACTGTAAAAGCCCTGAATATTATTTTAAATATTGTCATTTTTTTGAAAATTTCTGGTAGAATTTTTTTTTTGATAATTTTAGAATAAATTTTTATATTTTTTGCTCATTCTATACAGAATTACTACCTATTTACTATAGTTGGAAATACTATTTTTACTGTAATTAATGCAGGAATCAAAACCTAACCATTAAATCAGTTATTTATTTATCAAATCTGAACTGTTTAATGATTTTCTATCACCTGTGAACTGGTTTTAGCCTTATAATTTTGTGCTTATAAAATCATGTGGAAGTTATTACTAGTTAGTATGCACCAATATTTTTGTTGATATTAATTAAAGTGATAATTAAAAATGTGTATATAGAATTGGCACAAGATTGACTGCTAATTTTTTATTCATAAACATCTTGATATGAATTAGCATCACAACTTGTAGAACAAAGTTTGCTGATACAAAACATGGGCTGATTTTATTTGCTGCTACTAACCCCCTTCTTAAAATATTTTTGTTTGATAAATATTTGTCAGTGTTTTAACATTCCAAGATGATTACTTTAATATTGGCCAAAAAATGGTGCAGCTCTATTACTAGTATATTGTTAAAATTAATTTGTTTTGTTACCATTTTTATAAACATTAGTATATTGCCATTTTACAATTTTTAACGTTTTTAAGCTTATATGCCTAGAGATAAATTGAATCCAATATATAAATTATTTACATATATTATTATAAATTGCTATCAAAATGTAATATTACTGATTATGATCCCTATAAAGGGGCACCATGGAAAAAATTGTGAACGTCACATCAAAAGATACCGCCCTCTAGAACTCAATAAAATTAACAAAAAATCATAACAAATAAAATATATAATTCGAATATAGGTGTATATAAAAAATTATTCGACACCATTTTTTAGAGGTTTGAACTGACCGATATTTTCATTTTACCATCGAACTTAAACCTTGAAACGTTATTTTTATCCAAACCAATATTCGTTTTAGTTCGGATCCCTAAATTAATGCAATAATTAATAGGGCCTTGTTTCCTTTTAACTTATCTGTCATCGTATATAATAATTAACATCATCTTCAAATCGTTTGATACAAAGTTGGATCTTTCATCCTTGTTATCTAATAAGGAAATTTTGGTTACTTTCCTTGTTGGTGAATGAATTGAGATTTATTTTTTTCTATATATAACCATGATCCAATTTACCATAAATTTTTACTAGAAAGAGGTTTCTGAGTATGATTAGGATTGTAAAATTTTTATAATTATTTTTAACATCTTTAAAAGACGAAAATCATGTTATAAATTTTTCATTTATGTTAGTTGTTATATTTACGAATGTCAAGTATTCCAGGGTTAAGTATTTAATTTATAAAACATAATCAAAATTATCAGAATTCATTAAGATTTTAAGAGCTACATTTAATTTTTTTTCAGGTGAAATATCTAATTGTGTAATTATTTAACAAGATTAGTTAAAAAAATTTGGCTTGAGTATAAATATAATTTCCAATTTTCATTTTATGCTTAAATTGAAAAAAATATTCTTTTTTGTTCATTATTTTAAAGTCTATATGTTTTTTATTATAGAATGTGTGAAAATGATAAGAAAATATTTTCCTTACCTCCTGAATTGGCTTATGGAGAAAGAGGTTATCCACCTGTTATCCCCCCGAATGCTACCCTTCATTTTGACATCCAACTGGTCAAGATTGAAAGTGCCAATAATGAATTGTGATGCTCTTTTTCTACAAAATTCTTATAATCAAAGATTTTATATGAAATTCTTCCAGAAATTATTTTTATTATAAGTTTAATATTTAAATAAATTATGTAATGCAAAAGAATATCAATTATTATTGTGTCACCAACGGTACCACTTTTCACTTATTACTTTATATTTCATGATTTTAATATGATAATCCACTATTTAAAATTCCTGATTGTTAGGATTATAATTATGAATTTCATTCTTCCTTTTTTTTATCAAGCAAAAATTATGCATTTATGAAACGGCAATTTTTTTTTAGAAATACGCCTTTTGACCTAATTGTGAAACTCAAATATTTTTTTTATAAAATATATATTTATTTGATACGTGTTTAATTATTTATAATATCGACTATCTAAAATTTTTAAAAGTGCTTTTTATAAAATATATATTTATTTAATACGTATTTAAATTTTTTTTAAAGTGTCATGCTTAATAAGTGAGGAATGGAAGGGATCGGAACGGAAATGTTTATTTAATTTAAATAATCTACTTACATAGGATTTGTAAAATTTCTAGCGTGAAGTTTAGAGGTTAATTATAGAAAACGTATCGAGCAGAAGGAATTACCAAGCTTGCTATAAGAGCTTATCCCGACATACATTTTTCATACTGCTTTTTACAGTAAGAGTTCCATATTTTTTATATAAGCTTTCTAAAATTCTGACTATTTAAGTTAATAATTTATATCATTTTTAGCAAGGCGATTCTCCCAAACGATGCGAAATTAGCTATCAAAATAACTGCGATACTTAAATTGTAGTTTTTTCATTTCGCTCAGTATTTTTCAAATTATACCTATTATTGGCTTGTGTGAATTACTTCAATATTTTTTTAAAACGCAACGTTAAATAAGAATTCCTGCATGGCCTCTAAAAAAGAATAATTTTCAAATTAGTATAAATTATATAATTTTTGCTTAAAGTCATAAGCTAACATTTATTTGAGGTTCTAGAGAGTATAGTTGGTTAATTACTATATTTTTAGCCGTTTAAGCCCATTATAGTCGGCATAAAAATTGAATAAACCGTGTTTTTAGCCTTAAATTTACTTTGGCTTCTGGGTTTTCCTATAAATATAGCAGCTCAAATTTGAAAGAAATTAATATAAATTAAAACGGCTTATTAATGTTAAAGAATTTTCTACGGCACGTGCTTGTAGATTGAACCGAATTATCCTACATTACCCAACTATACTAGAGAGAAGACGCCTGACTGATTTTTTTTTAAAAAACAACTTGTTAACTTATTAAATTTCAATTTATAAAATCGATTTGAACAAATGATTTTTTAAGAATAATTCTAGAAACTTTTTTTTATATAAAAAAAGTAACTGTAAATAATAGATAAATTAAAATTTGAAAAATTATATATTGATTTATTAATATATATTTTTATCCAACATGGGAGTAATGAAGAGGAAGAGTACTATTAGGAAAGCTTCCCTAGATTATCACAAAGTTTCACATCTCTATGAAGCCCAAGATGCCACAGGTAATAATTTATATTAGGAGGGGGGGGGGTGATTATAATTAGTCATGCAAAATGTTGAAGGGGAAAGAATATTGGGGTTTTTTATTTGCTAATTTTATTACATAAATTAAAGTACAATTTATTATGCTGCCCGGATATTAATTCAAAGGTACGTTCATACTATGGGAGAGTGTATACGGATGAAGGGGGGGGGGTGTAAGTGTAACTTGTCTGGGGATTGACTAGCGGTTAAATATATGCCTTTTAAAAAGAGGGGTTTTTATTTTAATTGTTGCATGTATTAGACTTAGAAAAAAAGTTCATTATAGCTTCGCAAAAATTTATATAGGCAAACATGAAAATCAATTATTTAGGAAACTAATCTCGTAAATTAACAAAAAAAATTAAGTTGGAATAAAATATTTACTTATTATTTAAAAATTTTTGCTAATTTTTTTTTATACAGTTGTAAACAGAAAGAAATCTGATAATATATAAATATGGCATGTTTCGACTTGATAAAGTGAGTTTTCAACTCTCCCCTTTAATCGTAAATCATACCCTAAGGGGATTTCGATATTCTTTTCCCTCCAGAAAGCAATTCAATTCTAAAAATTAATTTAAATGATTACTCATATCTTTATATTCAATTATAATCAAGGGGTACCGGATATGGTTTTATTGGAAGATTATACGAGTGAAGATGCATTTATAGATAATTTGAAAATTCGTTATTCGCAAGATATTATATATGTAATTAAATAATTTAATATCACTTAACAGTCAAATAAAATTGAAAAATCTTACTCCATAACCCTCCCCATAAGATTATCACCAAATTGAAATAAAAGTTTGCATAAATATTTTGTGCTACAAATTGCAGGATACAAAACTTAAGTAAAATTAATGCTAGTGCCTCATCTAAAAAATAATAATATGAAAGCAATCAACATTGTTAATGAACTCGCATTTTTAAATTGTGTCTTAAGGCTGCATTTATAGTAAGCGCAATTCGCTCAAGCGATGCAAAATTTTTCACTATGTAATTTATATTATCAATCTAATAATAAGATATAATGAGTAAATGCTCAATAAAATGAAGAAATCACGATAGCTGTATTTAAAAAGTATTATCGCTAAGATCAATCAGCTGTGATTTCGTAGCAAATTAATTTCGGATCGCTTAAACTAATCGCGTTTTGCTTACTATAAAAGCAGTTTAATCCTGTATTCACAGTTGACGCGAATTCAGGGCTAATTATATAAATACAGAGAAAATGCAGCATGATTTGTATACTTCCCGGCGAATTAGTGTTTTTGCGGATGCATGCTAACCTCTCATTCACAGTAGAGTGAATTCGCGGGGGGAGAATATAAAAAAAAGCATATTTTATATAATTAGTCGCGAATTTGTGCTAACTATGAATGAAGAAGGCCTCGCATAGCACGCACGAAGTATCGCGATATCGCTCGAGCTACACATAATTTATCTCCAAATGTCAGCTTAGTTGTATAATTTGGCATGAATTTTATATTACGCATAGTTTTTGGCGCTTATTATAAACGAGGCTTAAGGGAATTTTTTTTATATTTCTTGTCCAATTTAATATAACCTTTTAATAACTTCTTCAAAAGACATACATAGGATCGGTACTTATAGCGATAAATCCCTACAAAAACATTCCCATATACACTCCAGAGTTTATCAATAAATATCGAGGTGTCAACTTATTTGAAATGCCACCACACATGTAAACAAAATGCTTGATTCATATACCTATGAAATTCATTGTATTCTTATTTTTTTTAACCTGACTTTTTACTAAGACTCGCATCCTTTGAGCTATATAACTTTCCTTACCACAACTTAATAATGGAATTTACTTAACATTAATGTCATTTTTGTTTACTTGTCACTTTACAAATTACAAGTTTGCTTGAAATTGATGTGAACTATGTTTATTCTCAAACTTATAATCACTTAGTATATGAATACCCTTTCAGCTTACTAATTAAACGCCGCTTTCTCACTATGTAAAATCAATCTAAATTAAGTTTAAAAGTCCTAAAATATCGAAATTGTGTCAAATAGGGTAATATTTACATCCGGAGTTATTAAATATTTAGATACGAAAATGTGGTATCTGTTTCTAGATCACTTTATAAAAAAATATATGTATTTAGATCCATTTGAAAAATATCTTTTAAAACTCTGGTTATATCTAAATTTAAAAGAGTTTTGACCTATTCTTTATTCGGTAATTTTATTTACATTATTAATTATTTTTTATGATATTATTATATATCGCGAGAGAAATCAAACCTTTAAAAACTTGCTTTAAATTTGAATTTATATTAATTACCAACATAACTCAAGATATACACGTTAAAATTACATTTTCGCATATCATTTTCGCCATTAATATTTTTTTCAAACGTGATATTTTGGGAGATGGCTACATTGCCTTATTTTATCAAAAAAAGTAGGATTTACCGTGGCGTGGCCCATTACTCGTTGTTTTTCTTTTAAAATTAATGTCGTTACTAATGGCGTTTTTTCTACATTACCCTGTCAGCACTAATTTGTTTGCCCATTTTCAAAAACTTGAACTCAAATAATCAAAATAAAACCAATGGATATTTTATATTGAATAAATTTAAAATTCATTTATAAAATAACAAATATATCTTTGATTTAGTTTCGCCCTGTCTGACTTAGCTTACAGAGCCATGATGGGTAGTCAAAGCAATCAAAGCATGCTAATTTCTGGCGAAAGTGGAGCGGGTAAAACCGAATCCATGAAAAAAGTTATACTGTACATAGCAGCAGCCAGCCATCATTCTCCCGAAGTTGAAAGGTGTTTTTTTTAAATTAAACATTCAACGCTACTCTTTCTCCCTCTATTATTTTATTGTTGCTCAAAACTAAGATTTTTTGACCCCTTTTTTTGTGCTTAAAAACATTTCGATATTTTTTAATTACTTTTGATTAAACGAAAGGAAAAATTCATTTCTATATAATAATAATAATAATTTATGAACTATGATAAAAGAGTTAGAGAAAAATTGCAAAAATCGGTGCCAGTCCTCGAGGCCATGGGAAACGCTAAGACAAATAGGAATGACAATTCTAGTCGTTTCGGAAAATATATGGATATCCAGTTTAATTTTATGGTGATACCTTCTTTTAAGAAAAAATTAATGTTTTAAAAACGATCATTTATTTGCATTTTTTTAAAAAAAAATCCAGACAGTCAGTCCTAGCGTCATTAAAAGTTGTTTTTATTTAACAAAACGATTTAGTAAAAATTTTTACACAATTATAGGTTTTTAGAAGCTTTTCTAATAAAAATGAACATATTTTTTTGCTTAATTCTACCTAAAAGAAATCAGTTATCATCTCATTTAAAAAGTCAAGTGAGAATTTTATTTAGGCCGTATAATATTGCTGTCTTTCTCTCAGTATAATTGTACAAATCTATTCGTACTCGTATTTTCTAAAGAATTGCAATTTTATATAATATAAACCATAGAATCAGAATATGCATGGACTGATCGTAAAAAAAAATTGACCTCTTAAAAGCCCTAATAGTTTGCCTTACATATATGTTTATTTATGAAAGACATATGATTCTCCTATGGGAAACGAATATGGCTTCTAATTGATCAATGTTCAGTTTCATATGAATATAAATAAGTTTGCATATGATTCCCAAATGTTATATATATTTATACTAATATATAGTTATATTTTACAAACTTTAAATATTTTTATGCATATCAATATTAATGTTAACAATTAAATAAAATTAAACGTCAAACAAAATTTATTTTTTAAATGACAAAAAAAACATGAAGGGGTCAATAGTGGGAGCTAAGGTTACTAGCTATTTGCTCGAGAAGTCTAGAGTCGTCTACCAAAACAAAGGGGAAAGGAATTTTCACATATTTTATCAAGTTTTTAAGATGAAAGAAATTTCGGATGCTTTGTATTTGCAGCCCGACCCTGCGTCATACAATTATATAATGCAGGTTTTAGAATAATGTCTAACGTTTTTTGAAGGGTTTTATTGCAATAAATATAATAATCTATTAACTCGTTGGCAAATATGCCGAAACATTTATTCATTATAGAAAATAATAGAGATATAGTCTTTTTATTATCTATAATTCTGGTATGTTATTGATTGTGTAAGCATAATAACAAACAATCATTTGAATATAATTATTTTTGAAGGTATATATTAATTTTATAAATCAAAATTTTAGAATTAATAAAGTAAAGCAGATGATTAAATATTTAGTGTTTGTAGAGTAGGGTATATAACTCGCTCAAAGTGATTAAAAAGGATTTTAATCAGAATAGCGTTCAATAGAATTTGATTGATGTTTTTTATTTAAATTAAAATCACTTGCTGGGAGCAATAAATGTCTCCAGTAACCAATTACCTTTTTAAGATGATCAAAAAGAAGACATTTAGTTTTCCAAATTATTTTAATTTATATAGAAAGATTCGATGACCGTAGCCACTTTGGATGACTTTAAAGAATTAAAATTGGTTCTAGAAGGGCTTCGAATTTGCGGTGTTTCCGAGGAAGAAGAAAAAGTATATAATTAATTTTTCTTGCTATATTTCAAAAGATTTAGCATTGTTATTTAAGATATAAAAAAAATTAATCATAATTTATTTCCAATACGCAATAATTCCTATTTATCAAACATATTTTTAACAAAATAAAATATAGGCATTTTTTAGCATAATAGGATCGGTTCTACATTTCGGCCAAATAAATTTTGAAGAAAAGGCTGGTAAATTGGAGATGAAGAATGAAGATCATTTGAAATTCGCATGCGAGGTTAATTCAGATTGAAAACAAAAATTTCAATGATAATAAAATGCAAATGACAAAAATAGAAAACTGATTATATCAAAATTTCATTGTTCCTTCTAATGATAGATTTTAATATTTTTTTTAGTAAGTGACCAAAATATGAGATTCCGTGACTTTTTCTATTTTACTTTGAGGCAGGCGCGTAGGCTGCAGGGGGGGGGTCAAATCAGCCCCCCCCAAGCCAAAAAATGCAGATGCCGGATATATTTTTCAAAAATATTATTGTTTATATTAATTTATATTTGTTAATGTTAATATTTATTCCTATCTCATGTTAAATATATATTTAATTACATTTATTTATCACATTCCTACTAAGTTATTTAATCAATTTATTTCGATCTCAAGTTTTCCTTGGCGTAATATTTACTATTATTTTCAAATTTTTAGGGGCGTAATATTTATCTACCATTTTCAAATTTCTAGTCAAATAATAATTATTTCTGAAACTTCTTGTCCAACAGGGAGAAAGAAATTGCAAACTTATCCAACAAGATGGAGTCTCCACCATCAAGCAGTAACAGCTTTTATGGAGTTAGAAGAACCGATTATTAATGCTATTACTGAAATATCACAATGGCCTGAAAGAAATATTTCCTCAGAAGCAAGAAAATTATAGGATTCAATACTTATTTCAATTTTTTTTTCTTATTAGAATGTATTATTTAATTATACAACTATTTTAAGTATTACTTTTCAAAAACATGACATTGATTTGATTAAGAAGATGAGAATAGCGGAGAGCATTTTATTAGAACTCAAGGAAATTAGGGCTAATGTTGATGAAGAATTTCATATTTTATATGTTATTGTTGAGTCAAAAGCATAGCTATACGTGTTTAATATTTGTCTCCCTCGACTTGTAGCAATGCAAGCTTATCGTCTAAACGTTAATATAGGATAAGTAGAAGCGTATTATAAAACAAATATCCCTTCTCTTAGACACATTTATAACCCAAATAAATGAATGATTTTTAATTGATCTTGCAGCACTTACCAATCTGCATATATTACTTCCACAAAAGCCTTCCCAATCCTTTTTCAGATGGTGATAGAAAAAAACATATTTGTTAGATTTTTATCATGAAGATGTTAAAGTATCTTATGATGCCTTATTGGCTGAATAACTATGATTAAAAGATTAACTATGATTGATATAGTCCCAAAAAATGCTATGGATGCTTTGTATTATTTCAAACACATTTTGGATTATATTCCCAATGTAATAAAATGTTTATGTTATATATATATATTAGCAACTCTTCCCATAGTAAACTAATGAGAGAACATTCTCTTTTTTAAGAAGAATAACAGAACGGCCTAAATTTTTTATGGCCCGGGCCGGGTTTTTTTTAAAAAAAATTTCAGGCCCGACCCGGCTTTTTTTAAAATAAAATTTTAGCCCGGCCCGAATTTTTAAAAAATAAATTATATTTTTGATTTTTCTAGCTAATAATAACGATTTCAAATATAGGCTGTTTTAAAATATATAGCATAGCCCGGATATTTTTTGAAAAAAATTTTCAGGCCCGGCCCGGGTATATTTAAAAAAATTAAAATATGCCGGCCCGGGAGCCGGGCCTGCAGGTCTTTGAAAAACATACCTAAGAAGTACAACTTCTGAAAGTAGATTGAAAGGTTAGGATCTTTTGAATATTCATAGTCATTTGACGACAAGCAAGGATGAGATAATTGTACATTGTAAATATATAACATACAAAATAAAATTATTCCTAAGAAACTTTTTGTGTATTAATTTATATTTCCAACATTTAAATTTTTTATACTTCTTTATATATAAATTTTAAAGACACAAGAAATTAAAATTTCTATTTGGGTCATTTAAGTGATTCATATGGTGGTTATATTCACTTTATATTTTATTGTTCACATTTATTTTATAGTTTTTCATATACCGCCAATTATATCCGTTTAATATTTTTTAATTCACATTTATTTTATAGTTTTTTTATGTTGGTTTGTACGTATAATTTTCTTGTAATTCACATTAATTTAAAATTGTGTATTAGAAATAGTTATTAATCCTAATATATTTATGCTGATTTTTTTAAAAAACAATAATTTTCTTAAAACCCACCCCCTCCCCTCCAGATATATTCCTATGTACGCGCCTCCTTTGAGGACACCTAAAAACTTCCTTAAAATATTAAGACCTTACGTGGGATGGGTTGGTTTATATGAGATGTCTATGGTTAGATTTAATATCAAGCTATTTTTTGAATAATGAAAAGAAGGAAAATCATGTAATCTCATATTGCTTTTTTTATATGCGGAGAATTATATTTTTTGTATATATATGATAAAAGGAAAAAATTATTCAGTTATAAAATTATGGATTGTAATTTATTATATGCAGCTGATACAATGCCCTTCGAACCTAATGAACAAAGCTTTGCTACACAGGAAGATAGCTTCCGGAAAAGATATAGTAAAATATAATTGACTACTAAATATTTGAAAAATAAGGGTTAAATTTTTTTATGGATAGCTAACCATACGAGAGACCCTTTTCTTGACATATTTCATTATAAATTTCCTCTTCGAATGGTACAAATATTTTGCAAATTTTTAAAAAATTTATAGGATATTATTTCACATAAGAATTTTAAATTGCTTAATAATTAATCGTTTTTAGGCAATAGCAAATCTATCAAAATCCGAGGCCTATTATGCCAGAGATGCCCTCTCAAAGACCATATATGAACGTTGTTTTATATGGCTAGTGGAACGCATGAACGAATGTCAAAAATGTCAAGTTTTCCATTTTGACTTATTTTTTTAGGGAAAAATAGATGATAACATAACAAACTACTAAATAGATTGGAATAATTATAAATTAATATTTTTTATATAAAGCTTGAAGATGGGGTTAAATGTCGATTAGGTCTTTTGGACATTTTTGGATTCGAAATATTTATTCTTAATAGGTATTATTTATTTTTATAAAAAATTTTATATATAAAGAGTGAATTTCAAACAATCATTTAGTGACATTTGAACTAATTTTTAAATATATATTAATTTTTTACAAATAAATTTTTATTACAATGGGGTAGGTATACTCTTTGCATGCTGAAACATACTATTTCGGCAAAATCAGGTTTTTTAAGTTTTTAATAATCCGATCTGGGTCATTTAAGCATAACTCTGAATTTGCTAAATCTCATGACACATAATTATACCATATTTTATTATAATTAAACAGTCATTATATTTCATAATGTTGGTTTCATTTAGCAAATTATTCCAAAGCTATTTTCTTATATAAGAGTTTTTACTTAATATCTCCTGTGATGCCATTTTCTAAAGTAGTTAGGAATAAGATCATGATGGAATAAGTATAATTTACTGTAATATTTTGGCTAATGATTTCTTATTTCTTCATCAGATTAAACCTAAATTTTGATACATTTTTTAACTCGGATTACTTTAAGGTAGTGCTGTAAACATTTTTAAAAAAATCGAACGCGTTCGCGTTCAACGTTCATTGACAAAAATCGAACGCGTTCACGTTCACGTTCAAATTCAAAGAAGTAAGTTCGAACGCGTCTCAAGTTCATGAACGCGTTCATACGTTCAAAATTTTATGATAAATTTTTTTTAAAATTTAATTTGATATAAATAAATGCCTTATATTTTTCAACACAATATATTAGCCATGATAAAAAATAATAGTTTTATTTTGATAATATAATTATAAATACAATATAATAGAGCGATAAAAAAATAAATTTATAAAAAAATTTTCTTATTAATTTTTAATAATAATTGCTTTTCAAAATTTTCATCTGATAGGCATGAACGCTTGTCAGTTAATACAGCGTAAAACTCGCTCAACAGGGGCAGATGAAGGGATTGCGGTGTTATACTTGATAAATAATTCTTTTAAAAGGGAAAATTTATTAAAAACATTTAATGTTTTATCCATTGTTTCAAAAAATTGAGCTATGTTATCATCCTCCAATCTGCCCTCTTCTTCCTCGTCAAAAAAAAAGGATATCTCGGAATTGATTTTAAAACAGTGAAATATTTTTGATATTTGGGCCATGGTAATTCTAATTCATCTAATATTGAATTTTGATTTTCAGAATCTGATGATGAAATATTTATATCCATGCAAATGCTAATCTATTAAATTAAAATATAAAATATTTAAATTAATAAACTTTAATCTTATCTTCTCTAGCAGTAGCACGTTATGGTACGTTAATTGCAATATGAAAGAGGAAAAAGTAAAAAGTAAAAACAGCTGGTTAAAAAATATAAGACTTTTTTGTTAAAAGATTGGATTAAATATTAATTTTTCAAATAAATAAAAATAAAAAAATTTTTTGTTAAAAAATGCGGATTAATATTAATTTTTCAAATAAATAAAAATAAAAGTGTTTTTAAAATTGAACGTGTTCATCAAAGAAAAGGAACGCGTTCACGTTCAAAGTTCGTCAAAAAAAAAGGAACGCCGTTCATCACCTTTTTTCAAAAAAACGAACTTCGTTCACGAACGCGTTCATTTTGAACGCGTTCGTTTACAACACTACTTTAAGGTTCTAATTTGAAAGGGGTCAGATCGCTTCTTTTCCAGAGTTCTATGTTCCTAGGGCGTATTTATACTAAACAGAATTTAGTTACCGATCTTTGCTAAACTGGGCAGAATCCTCAAGGATTGTATCAGACCCTTTGAGCATTTTTCTTAAATGGAAATCAAATAGCTATATTTATGGGAGCTTTTTTTCCAATTAAGGAATATTTTAACAATGGTAAACATATATTTATTTAAATTTAATTCATTTGAAAATATAAAAAAATAAGAGCGACATTTAGAATTTTTTTTTTTAATTTTTTTTGCTAACTACAAGTTTCGAGCAATTGTGTATCAATTTTTGCAACGAAAAATTGCATCAACTTTTTATCGAAAAGACTCTGAAGGAAGAACAAGAAGATTATCTGAGAGAAGGGATCGAGGTTAAAGATTTTCTTACAAATAAAATTTATTCTACCATATTAATCGTATAATATATATTTAAAGTTACGAGAGACAAGATAGTATAATTATATGTTAACATATTAAATAGGGTGACTTAATTAATTTAAATTTGACATTATTATTATTTTTTAATAAATTTAGTGGATCCCGATTGAATATGATGATAATTCGCCGATTTGTCAACTCATACAAGGTGCGCCTAACGGAATTCTTGGTTTACTAGTTGAGTAAAAATAGTGATCTGTTTATATTTTACAATTAATTATTTTTAAATTGATCTTCGGGTAAACCTTAATGAGATTCTAATCGAAAATGAATAAGATATTATATTAAACATTTAAGAATATTTAAAAAAAAGGGTATAGATTGAGTAAAAAAGGAGAAGAGAATAATATCAGATGTGGGGAGGTTATTTCGAGAGAAAGAAAAATAAAGCTAAGAATCGTTAGAATATTTTAATAGCAATAACAACTTGACGTTTTAAAATGTGTTCTAATTTAAAAAATTATTATGCTTAAATTAGATGCTTTAAATCGCTTAATTTGTCATTTATTACAAATTATTTATATTTTACTATAATAAACTGCATAATACCTAATTTAAGTTGCTTATTTAATGATTTCATTTTAAAAATGACGGATCTAGTTTTATTACAAGAGCTCTAGACTTTTGAAACAGATTTATGAAATATGAAGATAATTTATTTTAAAAAGAAGAATGTATTTCAAATGAAAAATTTGTATATTTATGATAAAAAATATATACTATATTTATAAAAATTTTTGGTATGTAATTTTTATCAATGTTTATAGCAATTTTTTTTATAGTCAAACAACTAATTGAATATGTAAGTAATTGGTGATTAAATCATCTATTTCAACTCACCAAATCAAACTACTCATAACCCTGAATTCATAGTTAGGGCGAATTCGTCACAAAGTATATGAAATGTACTCTTTTTGTATTATTCGCCGCGAATTCGCGCTAAATGTGAATTCAGAATTCAAGGTAACTTATAAGAAATTCTATAACGAATATCGGGGTTATTCGCCCAGATCCTACGGGGTGACAGTATCCTACTTAATCCATCCAATCAGCAATCACATTCACAAAACTTGAACAAATGCCTCCTATAAATTTTATTTTGATAAAATAAAGAATAAAAAATACTCAATATTTCAAATTAATTTGATATTTTTAGGATGAAGAATGTTTAATGCCCGGTAATAGAACAGATATCACCTTTCACGCTAAGTTGGAAGATAAGCTGAAAGATAACCCCGCCTTTGCCACCAGAACAACTGGAGGTTTGGATAAGGAATTGAGGAAAGGGCTCAAACCAGAGGTTCAATGCTTATTGATTATATTTAATATCTGCTATTTTAAAATTTTATTATTATATCAGAATAAATGATAAGGGTCTGTCAAAACTCATAACTTCTGAATTAAAAACTTATATTTAAAGGAATTCAAGATAAAACATTACGCCGGCCCAGTTGTTTACAGCGTCGCAGGTTTGATATATAACATATTGGTTCTATTATAACATTTGAAATATTCGTGAAGGATTCTTGGACAAGAACAAAGATCTACTCTTCCGGGACGTTAAGGAAATTCTCTGTGATTCTAAGCACCTCATTTTAATTAAAACATTCCACAAGGATGAATTGGATGACAAGAAAAGGCCCTTATCAGTAAAAAATATTTATATTGTTTTTAATATAATAGTAAACCTTAAATACGACATCTTATTAATTATCTTTTTGTTGTTGTATAAATCATATCAGAAAATTGATTTATTATATTATACCGATTTTACCTTTGACTAGTTTGATCAAACACGATTATCATTTATTTCTTTCGTAACAGGTTGGCACTCAATTTAAAAACAGTCTAGAAAAACTTCTGACAACCCTGGAGAAAGAAGAATTGCATTATATAAGGTGCATAAAACCAAACATGGAAAAATTGGCGGGTAATAAACTTTTGCATAGGAAAATAACATTATAATTATTTACATTTTTACTCTCTAAGAATAAATGAAAAATCAAATGAACAGCCAACTTAAACCTGAGCAAAATTATCATTTTTTTATGGATTAGCTTTAAATTTAGTCCTTTTTCTTTGATAATTACGGGATTATATTTATATAGACACAATGGACGATACAACCATCAGGCATCAAGTGAGATACATGGGCTTGGTCGAAAATGTCAGGGTGTGTAGAGCGGGTTTTGCCTATAAAAGACCTTACGAATATTTCATTAAAAGGTTTATTATATAGCATTTGCACAAAATCATTTCAAACTAAAATAAAACGAGATGCCGTTACTCTTGACTTTCTTAAAATAAAATAATGTAATGCAAAAAATATTTAGGATGTCTGGATATTATAAATTTTGTGTAAAGTTAATAATTATTAAAATGTGGTTAAGATCATATTTAAAATATTATATATTACACTATGATGTATATATATTAATAGATTGACAATTCATTAATTAAAAATGTCCATAAATAGGAGTAAGTTATAGTGCCATTTTATAGTTTGCACTTTCTACTAATTGTCTTTATTTGTGATGGCACATTGATGCATTTAATCGATGTTCAAACTAAAAAATGGCGGTGCAGCTGACTTTTATGTATGGACATTTAAATGCATTTAATGAATGAATGGCTAATCGTTGATCTATAAAATTTATATATAAAACTTAATTTTTTTTATATCCAATAACAAACCATCTCAAGATATTATTGCATATGTCCATCTACTTGGCCAAAATATTATCAATTCTCGTCTGTCGAAGCTGTTAAAGAAATCCTGGAACATTACAAATACACTCTAAATATTGACTACAAGTTTGGGAAAACTAAAATTTTTGTGAAATCAGCCAAAACTATATCCCAGATGGAAACAAAATATTCTAATCGAAAAATTGAATTAGGTTGGGTGGATTAAATGATTGATTTTTTACTATTAATGGAAGGGAAGAGAGCTATCTTATTTTCATTCTATTTCTATTCTATTTTTATTTCAATTCTATTTTTATTTCAATTCTATTTTTATTTCAATTCTTCTATTTTATTTTATTTCTATTCTATTTCTATTCTATTTTTATTTTATTTCTATTCCCTAGTGACAATGATTCAAGCCATTTGGAGATGCTACAACGTCAAGAAAATGTGGGAAGATCTAAGATTTTCAAGTATACTATATTTATACACATTTTTTTAGAATATAATAAATCATACAATCAAAATTTTTTTATGTTTTTAGTGGTGTTCGTTCAAAAATGGATAAGAACATTTCTAGCTAAACAAAAGTTTTTGATTCGCAAAAAAGCCGTTATAACCCTACAAAGGTATGACAAATTAGGATCGCTTAAAAAATTGAATTTCAAGGAAATATTTTTTGAATTTGACCATTTAAGGCCGATGTTACACGTTACAATCTACAAATAAATATACTTAAATTTTTTTTTTTATTTATAATCTGTTCAAAATAAAAACGTTATGATATATACTTGTACACAATATTTTTGAAATTATCTAACCCTAGATTATATCTGTGTTTTTAAAGAAATCGTCTTCAATATGATTTCATAGAAATAGTGTTTTTAAACGGCCTGAGATCGATTTTTTAAAACGGACATATTAAGATATTAGCCAAGATAATATTATAAGTCTGGAAATTTTGCTCATAGATGGCAGAAAGGTTTGGACCTCTAATTGCCATATCTCGAGAGTTACATAATTATTTTTACTAAAATCTTAATGCAAATAAGCCCGTTTAACAACACTAAGCCTGATTTAACTTTGGCAGTCTTTAAGACTTAAAGTAAAAGCTTTGCTAAAAGATATTATTACTAGAAATTTCCTTGAAAAAATTAGAGCCTACATTTATCATTTATATTATCGATTTTCCGAAATGCCGACTCCCTCATGCTATATACTAGTGTTGTTAAACCGTTCAATTCGAGACTATTCTTAAAAATGGTTAAATCTATAATTTAACCAGAAAAATATTGCCCAAGCCAAGCCTCGAGATTTCTCTAATAGATGTTCAAAACTTTGGGTCATCTATAACTAAAATCTTCAGGATTGAGTAATATTTTTCTAAAATATTGAGTTAGCCATTTTTAAAAATCGGCTCAAATCGAGCAGCTTGCCAAAACTACCACATATACTTTTTATATTGATAATCATTTCGCCCGGTGACCATCTTCCTATCTTTGCAATAATATATTGATTATCATATTATGTTAAATTCTCCAAAAAACGTGACATCCCTTCGGTGGTCACTCACCTAAGATTTTTTTTAGTAGGAAATAAAAATTAAGGAGATGTTGCGACTTATTGGTCTATTTAACATGATATACAAAAAAAATCTATTTTATAGTTTCTTTCCTGTTATATATTTGAATCGTATACAATGAAACCTCCAAAAGTGATCACCATCCCTATCAATCAGTACTCCTTTAAACAAAAAACTTTAACGAGGCTCTGATCTAGTGAATAATCTTTTTTGTTTAAAAAAAATGAATAATCAAACTTAAAATTTAACAGCTGTCTCGTAACCAGTTTTCTCTGTTGGAATTACTAAGACTTTTGGCGGTTCGAGGTGAAAAAAAATTCGAAGACCCTTTTAAAATTCATAATTTACCTATAGCCAAAGGAAAGGAAATCGATAATTATATCTTTCAAAATTATGTAGATTGTGTTTACGTCAAGTTGTTTGTTGCGAAATTTATGACAAATCTATTTATAAAATACTAGTTCAATCAAAAATAAATGTAATTATACGTTTCGTGATGTAAAATATCGAAATTACGAATCACTAATATTTTAATATTTTATTTTATAATTATTTTTTTTTAAATTTAAAGATTTATTTTTTTAAATTAAATTTTTTAAAGCTTTTATATTATATCGAATGATTTCTATTTATGAATTTATGAATTAAAGTTTAAAAAAATTTATTTTTTTTTAAAAATTATTAAAATAATGTTGTTTTTTTAATATATTCCAATCAAAACGTATGTTTTATGTATAATAATAAATATCAAAGATTGTTACAAATTGTTAATAAAGGTTTAAAAAAATAGACAAAATGTTATTCTTTTTCAAGAGATGTAATTATTCTGATTATGGTCCAACTCGAGGGAATATCTCAAGCTTTTAATTAACCCTAATTCTTATCTCTAATTCTATTCCTTACTTCAGATATTTGTTTAATTTTAAATATATCACTTCAATTAAAAAAATTTCCCTTCAGTTGTTCCTTGAGTTGAGCTATCATCATTGCTGATTGATTTTCTAATTTGTTTATTGGACATTTATAACTTAGTTTTGGACATGGTCATTTATAAAATATCTTCCTTTTTTGTTCAAAAAAAATATGTAAACAACAGATTCGCTAGAGCTTGCATAGATTTAGAAAAGGGAAAAACCGAAACAGAACCTTATAAAGATGTACGTGCATCATTGATACTATAAACAACATACAACAATAAACATTTTTTTTTTAAATATTATTTTAGATAGTAAGATTGAAGTGTTGGAATTTCATAGACAAAATCACCGAGTGGGCCAAAGTCAATAAAACGTTAGAATCGCTAAAATTTTGGCCAGAAACCGCTTCCCCTAGCTTAAAAGAAGTATATAAATTATAAATTATACAACACAATATATTCACTCTACACTATTGTTGTTAAACGGCCGATTTTGGTCGATTTTTAAAAACGCCCCGATTAAGATATTAGCCAAAATAATATTTGTAAGCCTCGAAATTTGACTAATTGAGATCAAAACCTCTCTACCATCTATGAGCAAAATTTTCAGGCTTACATAATATTATTTTGTCTAAAATCGAAATCAGGCTATTTAAAAAATCGGATCAAAGCGATCCGTTTAAGTTTAACAATACTACTCTACGGTTAACAGGCTTTTTTTCAAAATTAGCAATGAGTAATGCCACAAGTTTAATCTCAAAAATTTCTATTAAGTTATTTTTAACATTTAACTAGGAAACATCTTTTTGTGACAAGAAAATTTATAAATTTGTCTAATCTCTCATCCAGATTTCTAATTCGCTCAAACAAGCTTTCGAAAGACTTAAAATCCAAGAACAAAAAAGGGTAAATTATCAAATCATAAATTTTAAGTTAAAAATATAAAATGTAAAGCTACCTTTTAAGGATTAAAAAATAAATATATTTTATGACTTTTCAATTTATCTAAATTTATATTAACATATTTTAAAAAGTTTATAAATATAAAATTTAAAAAAAAAATTTATATAGAAAGAAATGATGAAAGAAGGCCTTGTAAGTTTTATTCATTTTTATTTGACAAAATCTTGATTATAAATTTAACATTTAGAACCATATTTAGATATACTTTTTATAAATTTATATTTAGGCCTCGTTTATAGTAAGCGCGATTCTCATAAGCGACGCGTAATTCATCGCTACGTGTTCATTGCCTATGATAAAATTTAAAAATCATGTTGCTATGCGATTCTTAAACAAATAACGCTTCTATAAACAGCCTTATGAGTTATCCGTTAATATCTAGAGATTAATAATTATCAGGGGCAAATAGAAATCGAAATTTTAAAGTGACTGGATTTAATAAATAATATTTTTGACCGGACCAGACAGAGCCTTAAATTATTTTAAAAAGGAAATTGAAAAATATGAGCAGTAAATGAATGTTAAACGATCCATTTATATGATTTTCCAACTAGATATAATTTAAAACAATTTTTTAAAAATTGGCCCGGCTAAGGTTGGGTAAAAAAAATAAAATAATGTTTTTAGGCCCAGTCATTATATTTTTCATTTTTAAGCTAGGCTTCTATTTTCAAATTTATACCCTTTGGCAGGTCTTCAAAAGTTAATAGATTGTTTTTTCTTAGACTAAGGCGCGTACCAGAATGTTCCAGCTTGAGTTTTTAAAAATTGAGCATTTTGTAGTCATTATATAAAAAAACTATTATTTATAGTTATATACAGGTTATTTTTAATTAAAAAATATACACCTATTACTTTAAAAATATGGAAATTATTAAGAATTAAGACAATTAGTAGGCAGACGATAAAAACAAATTAAAAACTAGAAATATCCAGATTTTTTTGAAACAATATTTTGCAACCCTGGTTTGCTATCCATTATTCGCTCGAACGCTCTGGTATGATTTTCGCTTTAACCTTATATTATAAATCATTCTAAAATTTTATCATAAATTTAAATTTAGCGAAATCACAGCTGATTCGTCACAGTGATTATATTTTTTGAAATTTAAGCAAACAGCTGTTGCGATTTTCATCATTTCTCTCAGTATTTATAATTTATACCTATTATTGGCTTGATTATGTAAATTACTACTAGCGAAAAATTTCGCAATATTTTAGCAAATCGCGCTTACTATAAACGCAGCATTAGACATTTGTTTTTTATTGTAATAAAAATATCTCAAATAAAAAAAAAGATACCCGAAGCACCCAGTGATTTGGAGAAAGAAGAAGTCGATGAACTATGGGCAGATGGGTTTGCCATGGAAAAATATATGGCAGAAAAAGAATGGGACGAAGAAAAGGATAGGGTAAAAAAAATTATTCCTCGTTTATTAAACAATCTAAAAATATATTTTTATTGTCAGATCTGAGAAATGTGATCGTCATATATATATGATTTTAACTAAAAAATTCAACCTCTAACTCAATTTTAATTAGAAAAGCCTTTGAAGACTAAATTTAAACTAAATTTATTTTCATTTCTATATAATTTTTTTAAAAAAATAGCTTTTTAACATTGACGCCAATCATTGTTGTTTTGGAATTATAAGTTGAAAATTTATAGATGTCGGTGTTAAGAGATAAAAATTAAAGCATGTATACTTTTTATTTCTTAATATAACTCATACTTAGCCACGAATTAGCATTGTGAATTCAGTGTATATAGAATAAAGGATATATACATTATTACCAAAATAAAAATGGGCAAATTAGAAATTCAAATTTTTAAAACTTGGAAAAAAAATTATTAAAAAAGTTTCAAGACGAATTTACTTACAAGTTTGATAAAATCAAACGTCAACTAGGCACGCAATTTACTCAGCTCAGATTGAAGCTCGTGAACAAGAGTTTGAAGCACAAGAGGGAATTGCTCGAACAGCTATACGCTGCCAGAACTAAGGAGTTGGAAGAGCAATTGAATAAAGTAAATTTTTGAACTAGCTTGGTGTCTCTGTCCCGCCTAAAAATAAAGCAACAGCTCCTTTTATAATTTTATAACAAATAAAAGTAAATTAGATAAATGGTTAATAATTTGACTATTTGTAAAAGTAAGTTAATAGGACGAATTTGAAAAAAAAATCTACCCCATATCAGAGAGAAAATTCCTACCTTCCCCGATAATGTTGATAATAAAATGTTTCTTATTTAAATGATATGTAGAGCAAATATAGTATTTTAAATATTTATATTTATTGATATCCAAAATAAAATCATTTTAACTAAACTCAGACCCACCAATCTCTGCAACACAAGCTTTACGATAATTGGAATCAAGAAAAAGCCCACGCTAAGAATCAATTCAAAAAACAGATAGCTCGTTTTGAAATTCTGGACAAAGAAAAAAGCCGGGCACGGGAAATCGATAGGATTAAAGAACTCGACGCCGACCGAAACAGATTGGAAAAGGTTGTTTTATTTTTTGAATCATATTTTTGATTCCGTCCAAGTAAAGATTATCAAAATCAGATATACTAGTGAATTAGAATTATTATATTGAGATTACTATGAAAAATTAATTAACTTGATAAGATAAAGTACCTTATTTGCCTTAATTTTCGAAATTTATTTTTAACTTCTATTAGATAGAGTGATTATCGTTGTCAATTTTTTTCCCATTTTTTAAATATTCACTTATAAAACTCTTTTATCACCTAAAATCAAATTTTATTTGCTTTCTCACGTTTTTTTTACATCTTCCCTTTAAAGAACTGATTTTGATGCCATGAACTATTTTTTAATATCTTATAAAGGAGTGGAGACAAAGGTTCATAGCCGCATTTCATTCCTGGGATTCTTATGTCAAAAATAATTTGGAAGTCGAAATTAACGAAGAATGGGACTTGATGAAAAATAAAGCTATCATGATCTTCAGGGAAAGCCTAAATAAGTCGTTAAAGGTATAAACACAAATAAAACATTACATTACATTCACACACTAAATATGTTCATCATAACCATTGAATATATGTCTTAAGGGTTTTGCAAATTTAAAGCAAATTTTAAATCATTTATAACGCCCTTTTTTTAATTTTAAAAAACATGATTTTATAGAATTATTCTGGTCGCATAAAGGACTTCTCCTTTCAACATGAAATTTTTCAACCACCCTTTAATATTAAATAATAATTCACCTATAAATATTTCTTTATGCATTAAATTTTTCTCTAAATCACGCTGATTGATTTATTTTGGGATCAATCTGTTATCTCATATTTATATATATTGCTATCCTTTCAATAAAACAGGTAGCATTTTATTCCATGAAGTAGAATTTTGAGAAATAATCGATATCAGGCTAAAAATTGATGAATGGCCAAATTATTAATATCCATTTTGCAACATATTACTTTTCACTTTTTTATAACTTTTTCTAAAAGGATTTTGTAAAGGAACAGACGGAACAGGAGATTATTTTCCAAGAGCAGACTTCATACATGAAGGAATGGGTCCTGAGCGAATACGATAAGTTGAGATGGAAAACTCTTTCCGCCTTAGAACATTCGTCTTCCCACGCTTACGGAGAGTTTGAAATAGAGAGGGTTGACAAAGTCAAGGATTTTTTCTCATCTTGGGCTGAACCTGAGGGTGATTTAAAGGTTTTTGGCATATGCTTTTTAACTTTTTCTGAGAATAATTATATAGATTTATTTTATAGCAATTGTTCATATTAAAAAAAATTCCTAATCATAATATTTTTAAATATAAATGTATGCAAAGGAATGGGAAAGAAGAAGGATGGAAGCTCTGGCCGAATTCAAAAAGGATAGAGAAAAGGTTTTATGTCAAAGCGGACCAGATGAGTTAACAAATGTGCCCTCCAACGTTCCCCCCATTAGCTCCATCTATAATAAAGTTTAACAAAAAAAATTCCAAATTAAAATTTATTAATATAACTGATTTCACCAAAATTAATCCAAAGATTTTAAACATACATATATGATTTATAGAACATTAAATTAAATTTTTCTTCAAAATTATATAGGTTAAATCATATATCTTTTTAAACCTATCATTAAAATATTTTTCTTGCTTTTTAGTTTATGAAAAGTTTGCAAAACAGTCCAAGTCCAATGCCGGATGAAAAAATAGGAGATAAAGCTGAAAAGGTGCGAAAATATTAAAAATCTTTACAACTTTTTTTTTGTATTATGATGTTGAGAATATTTACATTTATATAAACGATTGGGCTGTTTTTGAAGTTTTGATAATTTTTAATATTTTTTAAAAAAAAAGAATTTTTTATTTGTAGAATAGATATTATTTTCGAATAAATAATAAAAATTGGTATTTTTAAGTAGGAGACATTTTTTTAGTATTTTATTTGATTATTTTAACTTCTAATAAAGGATATATAAGGATGAGGAATGCTTTTATTTTGAATTAAGGAAAACATTAAAATTCTTTTTTTTTGTATTTGAAAGTTCGAAGTTATTAGCTTTAATATAGTAAATCATAGATCGAGTTTGGTCAACAATGAAACGAATTAACTATACATAATATTGATTTATATATATATTATATTTTTTTTATCTCAAAAATGATTTTTCGCGTATGGCATACTTTAAATTTTGATTGCATTTTAGTAGTACGTAATGCGTAATTGTAATAAATATTGTAATTTAATTGAGAACTTTATCTGCTTTTACCTATATCCTAAATTTGTTTACCAATTTAAAACAATTCCTTTCGCGATTTATATCCCGCATTTTTATAAAAATTGTATAAGCGATTAACGACTAATGTTTATATAATTTTTCTCAATATAAAAAAATGTTCGCGTCATTTTTTACAAAGTCCCAAAATAGGTATCATATATTCAGAGCATCTTTAGGTGGTAGAAGAAATAATGGAGATTCTATTGAGACTCTTAAAAAACCGGATAAAAATGATTCATTTACGAGCTCATCAAAAGAATACATGGCCAGTATATTAAAAATGAAGAAAATATCGGACATCTTCGGAAAAGAAATGAGAAAAGGAACCCCTAATTATTTAGACCTAGATACGGATTCGCATTTTAGAGCCGCTACTTACGATAATAATGTGTACGATACAGCGTTTTCGACCTCAAATATTTTCAAAGAGGACCAAGAACCACCTCCGTCTATTACAGAACTGTCTTCGAACGGCTTGGAAAGTTGGGAAGGTTACGTTGCGGACATGATGCATCTAGATGAACTAACTCATTCAACCTTCAATATAACCTCCTTATCCTCATCCGATCAGCACATGATACTCCCCAGGGACTCTTTGATCTCCGAGAGGGACAGATACGAAAAGAACGAGGCCAAACAGAGTGAGAAAAGGAAAAACAGGAAGAAAAAAAAGAAATTAATTATTACAACGACCACAGTGAAAAATGTAAACGAGGAGGAGCCAAGTTTGCAGGATTCTATGAGTGAATCCATTAAATCCCCCGGTCCTGGTATACGATCTCCTAGTCCAGGTATAAGATCTCATAGTCCCGGTATGCAATCTCCAAATTTAGTATACAAAATCTCTTATGATGCGCATCCTACGATAGAGGAAATAATAATGACAAGTGAAAATATTATTGCTGATGACAAACCCGAAACGGAGAAGCTGGACGTTTCCGCAAACCTTAATGTCCTCCAAAAAGTTGTTATACCAGAAAACGAAAAGGTAGAAAGCTACTCGGACATTTTGGTTAACCTCGACAAATCAATGATCAGCCAAAGTGAAAATTCTTTAACCTCCTTAATTAAATCCTTAAAAAAGAAAGAGTCTATTTCTAGTTATACTAAACCCATTAAAAGCACTTCCGAAATTGTCACCCCTTACCATAGTAAAACTTCAATGTCATCTGTTCAAAAGTTTTCAATGCCAGGTAGTGATATATTTCTCGTTACGTCTAACACCAAAAAACCTTAGACAAAGATGGATGTGAATAATATTTTATTGTAATGTTAAATATTTGATTAATTTCTGTAAACTTTGATTTTATATAAATGTTGTAATTATGCTTTGAAATTATTTGAGTCTTTATGTTTAAAATTGCTTGATGATTTAAAAAAATTTTTTTTTTCATTAAGAAGATTGATAGATTTAATTTTTTTTTAAATCCACTACAAAATGTTAAATCACATTTTAAATATAATTACAAAGTATGCATAAATATGTTATAAAGTTTTGTGTTTGACTAAATATAATCTGTATAAATATATGTGCCAATAAAACAGGATTTACAGCATTTTTCATATTTTATTTTGACAAAACTAATAGCAACCTATAAAAAGCAGACCTGATAGCTTTGTGATTCAGTTTGGGATTCCTTCTGATACTTTCAAACCAATGATGACTGATAATAGCTTGCCCATAATAGATAAGAATTTCAAAGATATTGAACCTGTATTGCCCGTCGTTAAAGAGCTTTCAAGTTATAAAATTGATGAAAGACCTGCTATGACTGATAGCGCGTCTATAATTGAAAGAAGTTTCAAAGTGGTTGCCCCTGTAATGCCCATCGTTGAAGAGCTTTCAAGTTTTAAAATTGAGGAAAGACCTGCTATGACCGATAACGCGTCAATAATTGAGAGAAGTTTTAAAGATGTAGCACCTGAAGCAACGGTGGTCAAAAAACCTTCAAACATAGAAATTGATGAATGGTCGATAGACAATTTAGAAAATGTTCACATAACAGATACATTGTCCCTAATGCCGAATGTAATAAAGGAACCATCTCTTCCTAAAATTGATCAAACTTTAACTAATGTCGAAAATTCGGCGATTCAAACTAAAACCAATAAGACTGAAGATTTGGAAGATGCAAATATTCCTGAGCAAGAGGCACAATTTACTACAGTTCCCTCGATATTAAAAACAGGAAAAGTGATTTCAACGATTATAAATGGCAATAAAGATCCCATTCCGCCTGCAAAAATACCTCCACATGTACGATCATCGATCGATTTTAATGAGCTTAGGAATAGCATTCATATCTCCACCAAAAGTAAAACCAATAAGGCTGAAGATTTGGTAGATGCAAATATTCCTGAGCAAGAGCCACAATTTACTACAGTTCCTTCGGTATCAACAGGAAAAGTGGTTTCTACGAACAAAAATAGCAATAAAGATCCCTTTGGGCCAGAAAAAATACCTTCACATGTACGATCATCGATCGATTTTAATGAGCTTAGGAATAGTATTCATAAGTCCAAGAATAGTAAATCTTCACTTCTCGATATCGGCAAAAGCGATTTGCACACCAGTAAAAAATTTGATAAGTATTCTGATTCTTTTTCTGATGCAAATTTGTTGACTAAAAGTGTAACTTCCCCTCCACCCAGTTCGATTGATTCAAAGCAAACTGGAAGAAGTGGAAAGCCCTCTGTCGCTCAAAACAGTGTCTTTAGTGAATTTAATGGAAGTATTGACGAACCTTTAGATATGTCTAAGCTGAAAAAAAGGCAAGCCGCTAACTACGATTCATTTGACGAAGAAGATAATTAGTATAATTCTTGCCAACTCGATAAAATTGACACTCTTATACTTAAACAAATATTTCATATTAGCTTCTTTATTTTTGGCTTAAATAAAATTTAAAATTATTTCGAGACAAATATTATCTAATCCACTAGTATAGAATCAGCCCACTTTTTAACGATCATCACGCTCAGATAATAGAAATTTATTGCTAGAGTCTATTAAAAAGAAATATTATGAAACCTGCTAATTTAAATAAATAAATAGAAAGTTCTAGTTTCTACTATAATAGTTAAAAAACCTGAGAATGGATAATCTTTTATTCTATTATGAATAAAATAGTGTTTTTACACTAAACAAAATTGAATTCTAATTATAATCTTGTATTAGATCATGCAAGAAATAACATCTTATATTAAAAGACATAATCTACATATTAAATAAAATACTTTTGACGTTGAACACACATAAAATACATCAATTTAAGGATAGATTTCAAAAAAATCGAGTGGAAAGGGTGGGGAAATATTCTTTTAATATTAAAAAGATGGTATCTGTATTTTCGATAAATATTGGTAAGAATTTTCTTCTTCTTTTCAATATCAGTTCTTCGAAAAGAAAAACCAAGCATATTTGTATTAATATAAGGGTAAAGGTGAAATTATATCAAAAAACCAATATTTTGTTTTCTTTGCATTTTTTGTTTTGACAATAATAAAAGGTGATAAAAAATCTTTGCCTTGAGCAGAGGAATGATAATTTGCACCTGGGATTAAAATTATATGCTCCTTTTTTATTGCTCTGTTGTTATGCAGAATCGTGCCTAGACGCTTGATACACAAATATTTAATCAGCCCTTTTAAAAAAATCAGCCCCCATGAGCAATCCATTATTTTCCTGCATTTGGTCCAATTAAAAATATATTTATATTGAATTATGATATAAATTATTTTAATATAAATAGGAGGGATTACAAAATGAAGATAATATAAATTTAAAGATGGATAAGCAATTTTTAATATATAAATCTATAATCCCATTTATAAATTATTTTTAAAAATTTATAGGGAAGAGTTAAATAAATTACCCATTGATTTTATTGTCTGATACAGTCATCTTTATGTGTGGCAGAATTATCAAGGTTTTTAGTTCGGTCACTATATTTTACCCACTATTGTCGCTTCCCATGAATTTCCTTTCGTAAGAAAAACATCTAATTTTTTATTGATAAATCAGTAAATTAAATCAACTTCAGATGCATATAAAGATTGGTATGTGAAAAGAGTGGCCAGAGGCATCTCCGTCCATAAAGGAAATCAAGATGGTTGTTATATTTAAGGCGGCATTACATTAAGATTTATTTTAATATTATGGATATTGTCATAGCGAGTTATGTTAAATGCATATAGAAACTGACTTAAATAAAGGGTAACCTAAGCGTATCTTCTTGAACTAATTTAAATTCTTCAGCGCAAAAGGAAAAAATTTTTACAACCGACGCGATTAGGTATCACCGAAAAACTCCCTCCTAATAACCTCAATAATTTCACAAGAAAGGTCAGAATTTTAATGTATTGATGATTCAACAATTGACATTGATTGACTCACAATTTTGCAGCACCAAAAATTTGTCCCAAGTACGACCCTAAATAAATTAACTAATCTCAAAATAAATTCGTTCGCGCTAGCTCGTTGAATTCAAAGTATACACCTTTTTTCCCCTAGGAAATTGATAAGTCAAACTTTGTGCAAGCCAATTTTTTAGTCATAGCATAATTTTTAGTATAAGATAATTTTTACATAGTATTTTTAATTTATAAATTATTGGATTTTATTGGATGTCAATAAAAAGCGTTTAATAATTAGATTAGTCGGGGAAATTTTAAAAAAAGACAAGCATTCGCCTATAGTTCAACACAATCTCTAAAAAATTCCCGGAATGGTATAAATATTTAACATATTACTGCTATAGTTAATTTATATCTTACTAAATAAACGAAAATTATGAAATTATCGTGCCATGATAATGCTGAGGTTTTATAAATACTTGTATATTTTTCAATATTTTTATATCCGACTTTCACATTTTTTTTACCAATCTAAATTGTGGTGGGCCACCATTTGAGCGCCGAATCATGCTATAATGATATATAGCATTATATACTAATTAGTGATTAATCTTTATGAAGTGGTTATGGTTTGTTTTTGTAAGCTTGCTAATACTGAAGGTGAGGGTAGAACCTGGGCTGAATAAATTGTAACGCCCTGCTTAGATTCACTGCCAACAAAATGTGCCGCATCGAAATCTTCAAATGCACATGTCCGTCTAATTATCGCTTATTAAATTTTTATTATAGCAAATTTTCTACCCTAAATTGTGTTTACGCCTGTAGCATTCCTACTCATTTGCCTGTACTAATACGTTTGCATTGAAACTATTATTGAAGGAATAGGTTTTTGTGTTAAATGCGAATAATGGTGCCACCGTTTAATTTTTATGAATTTAAATTCTAAGATCAGTTACTTGATATAATTAAGTACACAAAGAAAACCGCCTCCTTGAGTTCGATATCTCCTTAATAACCAATGTCAGTGATTGGTCCCTCCTCTGATTAAGATCCCATCGGGCCTGGCGTGGAGTATTTTTTCGTCGAAGCCTGTTAAAACCGCTCATTTTATATTAATTATATGTAATAATTTTGTATATTATAATATGATATTATATGAAGAACAAATAATATTAATATTTCATACGTACATATTCTAATAAATATTATTTTAAAATCTTTTTAATATTTCAAAATTATTTAAAAATCTGTCTAATGTGTGAAATCTCATTGCTCAGTGCTCATATGAAATGAATCTAATAAACTTCTAACAGGTAGATAATTTTTTTATTATGTAATTATTGTTCATCTTTGTTATTCTATCTATTTTTTAAATTGATTGAAAATCGTATTTCATCTGCTTAGGTATAGAAATTTATCACTTTTGATAAAAAAGAATTTATTGTGTAGGATTTTATCATTTCAGCTCATCTTGATTATTAAATATATATATTACTAACTATAATTTATGATATTCTGTAAAATTATTTTTTAATTTTATTTTATATTTATGAATTATATATTTAAAACAACTTAACCCAAATAGTTATATTTTTTTTCAAAAATAAAATTTGTAATTATTTTTTCAATATATAATAGTAATGAAAATTTGTTTTTGCACAATTTTTTAGTTAAATTATTAACTGTTTAATAGATTTATTTTAAATTACCTTAGTGCATTATTGCATATTTTATTTAAATGGCCCTTTCTGATAATATATTTAACTACTGAATGTGTTATTTAATTATCAATTTTAGTATTTATTGGAGGCCTTAAATTTTTTTTATTTTTCAAACTGGCTTAAAAGATTTATCATTTATAGGCATGGTTTAGGTTTTATAAAACTTTTCTATATATTTTCTAATAGTTTAATAGAAAAATATATAAATTAATGTTTGAAGGATCTATTATGTGTATTTTAAACTAGTATAATTTAAAATTAATATACTAAGGAGTTACTCATGAAGAAAATCCTGCCTTAGCTTCAGCTTTACAAATATCTTTTTAGTCGATATCTATTAATGGCTTGTGTTTAAGCCATTTTTATATTGTATAAGTATAAATTTTAGTTTGGAACATTTTAACTGCATGTATTAACTCCATTTTTATTTTTTAATCTATTTTTCCTAATAGTTTTTTGTATCAAGACCAATAAAAAATAATAATCTCTTATTAAATCATTTTCCTAACATTTATTTGAAATTCCTTATGATTCTAAGTGTCATCTTGTCTCCATTTCAATTACTTGTGACATTCCATATCAAATGAGCAAAAAATGAGATCTTCATTTGACCCTCTCCAATTTTTTTAAAATTTGGTAAGTAAAGAAAGGTTAGTATATTAAGAAATAGCTAAAATTTTAGCCTGATTTATATTATTGGAGATACTATGGTTCAAAGTGCCAAGTATTCTTACTATTATCTGCCTTCATCCAATTAAGCATTTCTTAAAAACTACCTTGTAAATAACAAATTTTATATAAAAATTACGTACAAGGATTATATTTTTAGATAAAAATATTTTCTTGATATTTCCAAATTCTGACCATTTAATTTAATATATATAAGAACTAAAAACAATTAGTTGGAATTAATAGGACCTTCAATTTTTATAAAAAATTTAGTTAACATTACTAAATTCTTCCTTTATAATTATAAAAAAAATCTGTCTGGGGCGTAGCCAACTTCATTCTCAAAATCGATAAAAATGATTAGAAAAGTGTATAAATTCCCGAAAGGGGGCATATTTGAATATAATTATATTTAAATCAGTTTTTAATGTACAATAAATGGGAGTTTCAATCAATTATAGAAATTGTCTATTCATAAAAAAATTCAATTTATTACATTATTTATAATTTATTATAAAATTTTTCTCTCATATAACATATATTTTATGAATATTAATTAAATATGTTCAACCAAGTTTAGAGTTCTTGAATATAAGAATCATAATCTTGTACATTTCATATATGGCACTTTAAATATTTAAAATAAGATCTAATATAAATTTAAAAATCTAATATTTAACTTACTTTTTAAAGATTTTAATATTTTAGTACCTCGCATTTACTTTGACGACAATATATAACTATGACCAGTAGCAGTTAATGGTAAAACTTATGTTAGGATATGATATTTTGGCAAGTAAAGAGTGCCATCTATTGGAAATGTAAGGGAATTATAAAGTCCGCATGGGTATAAACTTATGTATATTTCTTCCTGCTTTTGTTTCTTCCTAAAACAAAGGTTAACCCACCAATTAGAATGATAAACACATTATGTATCCTGATATTTCTCCCAAGATTATATTTTCATTATATGATAAATATTCTATAATGCTCTCTATTAAATTTGAATGACATTTCTAAATTGACGTAGACCTGTCGGAATCATGGTGTGAATTTTCTGTTCCAGTCA